ACTATATAAGCAGTAGAGCCCTGCCCTAACACCAGAACCCCTTATCCTGGGGCCATAAAATTCACAAATCTGGAAGAGGCACTCTTGCTTATCATAACTATGTGCTTAGTTAGTTTATTTAATTCCCAGAAGCAGAGAAGATAATTTTCAAAGAATTAATGCATTTTCACTATATAATCAATAGAGCCCCGCCCTAACACCAGAACCCCTGACCCTGGGGCCATAAAATTCACAAATCTGGAAGAGGCACTCTTGCTCATCATAACTATGTACTTAGTAAGTTTATTTAATACCCAGAAGCAGAGAAGAAGATTTTCAAAGAATAAATGCATTTTCACTATATAATCAATAGAGCCCCGCCCTAACACCAGAACCCCTGACCCTGGGGCCATAAAATTCACAAATCTGGAAGAGGCACTCTTGCTTATCATAACTATGTGCTTAGTGAGTTTATTTAATACCCAGGAGCAGAGAAGAAGATTTTCAAAGAAATAATGTATTTTCACTATATAATCTATAGAGCCCCGCCCTAACACCAGAACCCCTGACCCTGGGGCCATGGATTTCACAATTTTGGTAGAGGACTCAATGCACATTACATTCAAGCCAACAGTTTGCCTGCTTGATGTCCAGGAGTAAAGAAGAAGATTTTTAAAGATTGCAATCATTTTAGTGGTTTTGGCCCCACCCCTCAGGCCCCTGGGGGGCGGGGACCATGAAATTCACAATTTTTGTTCCTCTCCACCCATAGATGCTGTATACCAAATTTGGTTGAAATTGGTTCAGTGGTTTCAGAGAAGAAGATGAAAATGTTCAAATGTTAACACACGACACACGACGCACGACGCACGACGCACGACACACGACGACAGACGAAAATGGATAGCAATAGGTCACCTGAGTTACTCAGGTGACCTAAAAAGTATTATTTTTAATGCTTATTTTTGGCAATTCTCTACATCAAAGAGCGTCCGACTTGTATTTGTGATATAAACTGCGTAAATGTGTAAATTGAGTGAATCCCTCATGTTGAATGGGAGAGTCAGTTTTTAGATCCGCCGTGGACTATCCCGGACGTGAACATTAGATGTACTGGACATTCCGTCATCAAGAAAATATAGTTTTACTCTGGACTATTCCGAGTTACCAAAACGTTTGTTTGTGTGTCCATGTGTGGGCTTTACAACCTGTCTTTGTTTTATGTGACTTGACTTGATTTATTTTTCAAAATACAAACTTTAACTTTTTATTGCTTGACTTTCTTTTAATAAATTTTCATCACAAGTTCACTTGTGTTACTTTCACCAAATATATTCTATTAAAATAATGATTCCATCTTCTTTGTTAACTTTAAATTGCTAGAAATATAGTGTAAATATACAACATGAAAATAATGAATGTTAGAAATGAAATTATTAATTGTCGGAAATGCAATGCAAAATTCCGGAAATCAAATGCAGCAAAAACTGGTACCTCCCCTTACCCAAAGAAACTAATACATGTACTTTGATGCTCGATTGAACACTCTAATCGGCACAAGTTTTAGAAATTAAAAGGTTCATATATAGGAAAGTTTAGTGACGCATACTAATCCTTGCCGACCTTGTTTTTTTTTCATTTACCTGACGACTTGCGAATAAAAAAAAATGTCGCGCATGATTATTGGTTAACATTATAATAGGTTATGGATTTATCATGGATTTTAACACCAGTCCTGACCTGCACGTACCTTAACAAACTAACCAATTGACATTCTCGACTCTGAAGGAAAACATTGTATCATTTCAGGGACGGGGGGTTATGTATCGCGATGAGAGGAAATTTAATAATCTCTTTTAGTCCAATAAACACGAAAGCATGGCTTGGAATATTTGTATGCAACTACATGGCTTTCTCAGAAGCAATTTTGCATTTGTTAAAAAAATTCTAATTATTCATTTTTTTTTCTCTCGTATTCTGAAAGCTCGGAATGTATATATTTTGGGCGCACTTCCGTGTAAAACAGCATGTACTTAGTTATAATCATGTACCCGTAAAATCGTGTCATAGTGATATTCTTTTCATTCGAGGAAATAATAGAAATATGTAGGCATATCATTCGGTACAATACAATTATAAGTTATGTAGCAAATAATGCAAAACTCAAAGTTGCTTCATTTAATTTTCGATTTTCATGAGAATTGGAAACGTCACATCCACTTACAATTTACTGTGTGCATTTGCCATGTTTATTTGTATTTGCTAATTTAAACAACATCGCAAATTTTTCTGATATAAAGCAATTAGAATAACTTGATATAGGCCCGTATACATGTAACGATTGCAATTACTTCCAAGGGGGAGGGGGAGACGGGGCCTAAAAAATCCTCGTACTACATGTGTACCTTTCCAATAATAGAATCATCCGTACAAATCAAAAACAAGTTGCAGTATTGAAATCCCCAATTTTTTAAATAAAAAAAACTATATAATGGACTTCACAAGGGTAGAATTTAACATTAACTCATGTACATGTGCAATTAAAATCACTATCAAAATTGGCAGAGTGATCGATAGGTCATCCTGTGTCACCTATCAGTGTAACCAATGAACTCGTCCAGATACCTGAGCAGCAGAAAAAAGCAGCACATTTTATTCATTCGTCAAAGAAAAGAATCCGACATTTAACATTTAAATCTTTGAATACACATACACGTTCAAGAAAGCCTTTATATTTTTGTCTAGAAATATTCTTACGATTAACGCAAATAACATATTTTCTTGATTTTAAATCTAGGACTCGAGTAAAAATCAAAGAGTGGTAATGTTGACCTCACGAATGTATATAGGTCAATGTGCGATCGATGAAGGGCTTTCATAACAGTACACACACACAACAGTCAGGGTCCGCGGAAAATTCATGATGCATGAACTAAATGACAGTAAATTATCTTAAGCTTGAATTATTATTTTTTTTATATAAATAATGCTACATTGAATATTAATCGAAGGAAAGATGATAAGTATTTTTCCCCTCCCCCGTCTTGTTATTTAAACTAAACACAAGGAGAAAGTTGTCTCTGAATAATCTGTATGACATCCAGCTAGAGAATATGTTAAAAACTTATTTGAACAAAGTTAAACATTCAATTTAGCTATAGCTAGGTATATTATTCTTGTCCAGTTTATTTCAGTTATATACGTGTTATACGCATACGCACATAGAATTCTTCTTCACTTGCCATATAAAATCACTTACCTGTACATGGATTATAAAGTGTTCTACTCATTTAATAACACATGACTCAAACAAAATAACGTTTTCAAGAGATTAATAAGATGTTAAAGAACCCATTTCATATCGATAATCATATCGAAATATTTACCGTTTTTGAGTTATAGAGCAAAAACTTTCAAGGTCTTTCAAGGTCCCTAGATCCCTATTTTTTTAATGATGTCAAATGATAGATCTTAAAATTATGCACAACATTTGTTCATCATGTCTTAACAAATTATTTTTAGTTTAAAAGATACATAAGGAAATATATTTTAATTTTTGTGCTTTTAGGCATTCTCATTTTTGACCCCTATCTGGCACCGTTTTGAGCGCAGAAATCGAAAAAGAAAAACCGATGTGCACAACTTCATTTCTTCTAATATTTGAATTCAGTAGAATTTCTGCTCCAGCTTTTGTCGTTTCCGAGCCTTTGTCTGGAAACGAACAGTACCAAATTTTCATTTAAAGGGAAATAACTCGAAAGCAGAAGAGATTTTTTTAAATGTTCGAAAACATTTAAATTGAATTTTGTAATGTTTAAAAACTCTGAAAATTTGAGCGAAATCCGTTGAGAAATGAGCGAGTTATGAGGTCTCAAAGTTGGCGTCTACGAAAAAAAAAAAAAGAATAATAGGAATAATCTTAACCATCAGAATCAGTAGAAGGTCTCCCGCCTGAGTGGAAGACCTTAATTAAGTGGAATTTCTAAGTCCAAGGGGCATAACTCTAACAAAAAGGATGCGATCGTACCCAAAACACTTCTTGACCTAGATATTTATCTGACATATCTGTATACTAAATTTCATTTCAAATATGTGCAACCTCTGCAAAGAAAATGAACGGAAACTGCAAATAAGTGGAATTTTTCTAAGTCCAAGGGGCATAACTCTAACAAAAAGGAAGCGATTGTACTCAAAACAGAACTTGACCTAGATATTTATCTGAAATACCTGTATACTAAATTTCATTTCAATATTGCAACCTCTGCAAAGAAAATGAACGGAAACTGCAAATAAGTGGAATTTTTATAAGTCCAAGGGGCATTACTCTAACAAAAATGGTGCAATCGTACCCAAAACATAATTTGACCTAGATATTTAGCTCATAAATCTGTATACCAAATTTCATTTCAATATGTGCAACCCCTGCGAAGAAAATGAACGGAAACTGCAAATAAATGGAATTTTTCTAAGTCCAAGGGGCATTACTCTAACAAAAAGGAAGCGATTGTACTTAAAACAGAACTTGACCTAGATATTTATCTGAAATTCCTGTATACTAAATTTCATTTCAATATGTGCAACCCCTGCAAAGAAAATGAACGGAAACTGCAAATAAATGGAATTTTTCTAAGTCCAAGGGGCATAACTCTGTCAAAAATCAGGCGATCTTACCCAAAACAGAACTTGATCTAGATATTAACCTGATAAACCTGTATACCTAATTTCATTTCAGTATGTGCAACGGTTGTGAAGAAAATGAACGGAAACTAAATGGACCGACAGACCGACGGACAGCAGCAAAGCAATATGCCCTCCCTTCTTCGAAGGGCGGCATAAAAATAAGACACACCTGATCCTATTATATACTTTTGTCTTTTTTTTTTTGGAATATTCCCATCCTCTTTTTACCAAATAACTATTTGTTAAACTATTTTCATCAAAAGTACATCAGTTTTGTCAATAAAAAATAAATTACACTTGAAAATACAGTAAGTTTAATACCCTTTACAATTAACAAGTACCTGAAAATTTGTCTGTTTCATCAAATGACCTTCTTTGGTGCATGCCTGAAAATTGCAGGAAAAAAATTTAAAACATTTTCATGAATATAAATTTTACGTGTATTTGTTCAAAATTAGAATGCTACATGAATCAAATCTATAACTGTCATGCATTCTTTATGTGTGTGTGTGTGTGTGTGTGGGGGGGGGGGGGGGTGTTTATGTGTAATAAACAGGTAGATATCTGATGAAGCAGGGAGCTATCGCCTTTCTGTAACACTGGAGTCACCCTCAGCCATTAACAATTGATTTTTTTGTCACAGATCACTCACACAATATTTATAACAGAGTAGCTTCTCCCTCTTACCATTGGCATAAAAAATCAATAACACAAGAGGCCCAGAGGCCACATTGCTCACCTGAGCAACTGGCTAGGTAAAGTAAATAACAGTTCAGTATCGAAAAGTCTAAAAGTGGGTTCAGGGGAAGGGGGGGGGGAGGTCATTTGAACAACCTTAAATCTATACTTCCTAAGGATGCTTTAAAATTAATATATGATACATAATGGCTTTGCTGTTTATAAGATGAAAATTTCGATTCATATAGCTTTTATATTCCTTTCAGGCTTTGTATTTATAACTATGATCCCACTTTAATGGCTCCTTTATTTTACTGGTTGGTCATGATTTGAACAAATTTAAATCTACATTACCTTTATGGATGCAGCTTTGTTGTTCTTGTGAAGAATTTCAAAGAATTTTCCTATATATTCCTACGTGACACCTTGGTCACCCATTGTGGCCCCACTCTACCCCCTGGAGTCATGATTTGAACAAACTCTAATCTACACTACCAGAAGATCCTTCCATAAAACTATGACCAAACATGGATTTGCTGTTCTAAAGAACATTTTTAAAGATTTTTCCTATGTATTCCTATGTTAAACTCAGTCAAATTAAAATCAGATGTTAGATCCACTCGCACACTTGCTAAACTAACATCTAACGACATCCCATAGAGAGACATGTCAGAGGTCATATTGGGAACAGCTCTAGACTTATTCGCTTCAACAATATACAATGATTTCGCAAGCAACGATTTGATTGGTTGATAGAATTTGACCTCTGACTTGATCCTTAATGGGATGTTGTTAGATGTTAGTGTAGCGAGTGTGCGAGCAGATCTAACATCTAATTTTAGATTGATGTTAAACTTTGATACCTTATTGTGGCCCCACCCTACCCCCCGGGGGTCATGATTTGAACAAACTTGAATCTAAACTACATGAGGATGCTTCCACATGAGTTTCATCTTTCCTGTCCCACTGGTTCTTGCGAAGAAAATTTTTAAAAGATGCCATTAATTTTTCACTAATTCAAAATTATCTCCCTTTTGAAGAGGGTGTGGCCCTTCATTTGAACAAATTTGAATCCCCTTTACCCAAGGATACATGTACTTGGTGGGAAGATTGAGTGAAATTGGCCCAGTGGTTCTTGAGAAGAAGATTAAAATGGGAAAAGTTTACAACAACAACAATGACGACAAACAATGGACAAATTTTGATCAAAAAGCTCACTTGAGCCTTTGAGTGAAATTGGCCCAGTGGTTCTTGAGAAGAAGATGAAAATGAGAAAAGTTTACAACAACAACAATGACGACAAACAACGGACAAATTTTGATCAAAAAGCTCACTTGAGCCTTTGAGTGAAATTGGCCCAGTGGTTCTTGAGAAGAAGATGAAAATGAGAAAAGTTTACAACAACAACAATGACGACACACAACGGACAAATTTTGATCAAAAAGCTCTCTTGAGCCTTTGAGTGAAATTGGCCCAGCGGTTCTTGAGAAGAAGATGAAAATGAGAAAAGTTTACAACAACAACGAGACAAACAACGGACAAATTTTGATCAAAAAGCTCTCTTGAGCCTTTGAGTGAAATTGGCCCAGCGGTTCTTGAGAAGAAGATGAAAATGAGAAAAGTATACAACAACAACAATGACGACAAACAACGGACAAATTTTGATCAAAAAGCTCTCTTGAGCCTTTGAGTGAAATTGGCCCAGTGGTTCTTGAGAAGAAGATGAAAATGGGAAAAGTTTACAACAACAACAATGACGACAAACAACGGACAAATTCTGATCAGAAAAGCTCACTTGAGCCTTCGGCTCAGGTGAGCTAAAAGAAATCACCCCGCCCACCAATCACCCTTCACCTTCTGTTATGTAAAGCTTCCTCTCGTTTGTTTGTTTGTACGTTAATGTACCACTTTCTGGTGTATGCTGACATCACAGTGACAATAGTGCTTTATACTCTTTGGTAAAACCAGGAAGACAAAATCTTAAAATTATAAAATCTCGATGGGTTCATGATACTGTTTACATACAACTCTCAATGGGTTTGAGGCAGGGCATATACACAGTACACTCACTATGTACTTGGTACAGATAATGTGTGATGATAATGTTCATTCTATGAAAAGTGGGTGGAGTTGATACATCAGTCTTATTGATGCTGTAATTTTACTAATACAGCTCATAAAGGTTCAAAGATCTGATTTAATCAGTCTTTTAAACTTATAAATCCAGTTCTTCCTTTCTGTATTGGTCTATTTATAAACATATATTCCTCAGCCACACCTTTCGCTTTTCCCTGGGGATAATCTCCAGAAGTGCTGCAGCACTGGTTGTGTTTGTATAGTTCAGGTCTACATAAGCATGATAATCATTGATTCTTAATGCACTAGAATACACTCTGGGCTGACAGGAATATTGAATCTACTCATATTCATACACCGAGAGTACTTGACAATAAAAATTTCATAAGTCTGAGCGGGCACATTCATGGGAGATAAACATGTGAACTAATAGAGGAATAAGCGTAATTAATTTGACTAAAATATGATCCTTAACTGCCAACAACTGCATTGGATGGCTGCTGATATACAGGGATAAAAAAGGTGTTAATTGAACTAATTTTCTGGTGTTAATGCTATAGATAGAACTTTACAACAAGGAAAGTCATGAAATACATTCAGTTTGTTTATTTATTGTAACCATTTTTTTCCCTATAGAACTAGATAGTGCCCTGGGAGAGAACCAGTGGTCTTAGAGAAGGACAAGACTTGTAAACTTAATATACTCTACATCATGTATACTATATTCTAGGAACATTCTGTGACAAAACTTTTTTTTTTTCAATTATATACTCATCAAAAATGTAACTATGGGAAAATTAATTTTCTATGCCAAAGCTAACATTGAGTGCAAACAGATAAAATTTCCTCAATTCATGTCAATTAAACAACTTAATCGCACTTGACCTTCTGAGGAAATCAAACATTACATTTCATTTTTAAAATGGGAATATTTTATATTACTTCCTGGATATTTCCAATTCTTTTTAAAATCCAATCCCTAAATCAACAAACCACAAAGTTATGACTTTAATATGAAGCAGAAAAAAACAAGCAAGAAAAGAGAGTTTACATACCAATACGTCGGCATCATGGACCTGAAAGGAACATGCAAGGCAACCAAATAATAATCATGCAAATAAAATAAATCACACACTACAGACAAAGTCATATTCTACAAACAATTCACTGGAGGATACAAAATGTATATGTCATTGAATGACTAGTGTTTATACATGCAGTGCTGCAATTAATAAAAATTATTAAGCAAACTAATTTTGTCATGGGTCATTTACAAATATAAGATACAACATGCTAAAATGTACCATACTACATCAAATAAAAAAAAGCAATCTCTTGATTTAACTTGATGAAAGGCCTATCCACCATTGAAATGTTTGTGGGTTTACAACAAAAATCTTTTACCAGATTTAAAACTTTATATTAGCATGATAAAACCAGTAAAATGAGAAACATAAATTATCAAGCATAACAAAATGTCATTTCATTAGGTCTACAAAAATTTTTAAGTGCACTTTTCTAAACCCCATGAATTCAGCTAATTTGCCACACTTAACTTTACTAGTTTTATTTTTAATTTTTAAAAGATCAGAAAAAATTATACCATTGTTAGAATAATCAAATCGAATTTTCCTCAATGGAAGAAGAAATGTTTGATCAACCTTAAACCATTAAGTTGGTGATTCAATGGAAATTAATCCCGGCAATTTGTTCACATAAAATTTTAAAATTTGATTTTATATAATGTAATGAAAATGTTTTCTTTTAAAATTCTCATGCCTTGGAAACAGGATGTAAACAAAATTAATAAATGTCTGGAGATATTCTTCAACATAAAAATATATAGAGGATGTTCCCTGTTTTGTAGTTGATTATGGGATATAATTTAAGAGTGGGGCTAGATTCTTATATACATTGATGCAAAAGAAGACAAGATACATTTAACAGATACTATATGAGATAGGCTAATTAATGTTCAAAGCATTCAACTGTTGAAAATTTAATATTTTAAGAAATTATAGAAAAATACACGTTTCAATTTAAAAATAATAGTTTGGTGAAAATCCTCAATGGGACATTAATATTAACTTTATAGGGAATCAGCTGAAAGGATGACTTAGCCTTAGGTATAAGTAGTTTTATCAATCTCATTCTATCAGACTTGATAATATCATATGAAACATAATAAATTCTGATATTTTCTGTACTTATTAATATGTTTAAGACAACACATTGCAAGACACTGACCCATTTTGTATTTCACGGGGCAGAAAACCCCACAGGCTCTCTGTCTCCCTCCCGATCCTATCACAAACCTTGTCATCAGCATCTGTCAACCTCAGACGACGACAGACGCCGACTCAAAAAAATCAACTTACGGAAGATTTAATCTCTCTGTTGGTTGATATACGCCTGTGAAATCTCTTGGCCGGCTCAGGTTCTGTCTCACTCTCAGAAGAGTCGTCTGCAATGGCAATTTCCACATGTTTTCCATTTTTCCGTGGACCTTCTGTCACACAGGCCGCCATCTTTATTTGCCACACTTGCCACCAGGGGTCGCGTTCGATGTTCCTCTGGGGAGAATCTCGTAAGCTGACTGGAGCGCCTTGTCGCTCTCACGATGTCTGCTATTTATCCCACACGAACTGTAAAATATTTCTATTTGTGGCGACACTCTTCCCATATCCATTAACCATAGCTCAATTTGTTAAGTAATTTAGAATAAAAAGTATTCCGACGTGAACCGGTAATTTTGTGTGTACATAAATATTATATGTACAGGTACTTTGTCTTTTTCTTTACTCCAGTGATATTCAAAATCGAGTTATTTTGTTTTAAATTACCTTCAACGTAGAAACCATAGAAAATAAATTTTAAAATACTCAGTAATTTAAATTATTTATAATAATGGATATGGGTACTCGATATAAATCGTCTAAACTAAATGCATGTACAAATACACTTTTCCTGGCCCCAAGACCATAAACTGAGAACAGACTTGATTTAAGTCAAAATTTCAAAATAAAATAACTTCTCAGTTTGTGTTGGTCTCCAAATATTTTCCTGGTAGTCTTTGAACTTGCCGAAATGACCTTTTGTCAAGATTATACACAACCTTGGGTCATAACGCAACCTTTGATAAATTTGAGTTTCCGAGATTTCTCTATCAAAATGTCGCACTGACTGGTCTGAACAAGGAATATATACATTTTTTAACTTCTAAAAATGACCTTGAAGTTGATCAGTTTATGACATATTTCAATTTTTTTTAAGGTCATAAGAATTTTTTTTTTAATGAAGAGTGAACATTCATTGTTTCTCCATTAGAGAGTTAAAGACAGAACACGAATTTTACTTGTGTGTCGCGGACTGATGCATGAACTTGCTGTAATGACCTTGGGTCAAATCACGACACCACATTCTCATGTAGTAAGCAATACATGTATATCTGTATAAATTCTCAGATAAGTGAGATATACTTCGTCAAATCTTGGCCTATAAAGGGAGGGGGGTATATATATGTAGGACTCCAAAGTGCGATGGGACTCTAAAGTCCGATGGTCACGCCAAAGTCCGATAGTCTGCGCCAATCGCCGATGGTCTGACACACCAAAGTCCGATGGTGCGGAAAACAATTAACGTTTATGACGTCATAGCGCCAAAATTCAATGCCGCGCTAGGCCAAGGTTTTATTTGCATAAATATCATTATGCGAAAACTAATCCTAATCTCTCAGATAGGTGCGAAACTAACCCTAATCGTTCGAAAAGTGTGTAACAACTATAACCTAGATATCTTGGGTGGATGCAAGACTAACCCTAATCACTCTATATCTCTCGGGTAAGTGCAAAACAAGGACTAGCCCTAATCAGTCGAGTGATGTGCGAGAACTAACATTAATATCTCTGTAAGGTGCAAGCAATAAGCAAACTCAGTAAAATTGAATGCGAGGACGAATTCAGAAATTTTGGCTTTTGAATGCAGGACAATGACATCAGTGTTTGACGTCGAATTATTGTAACGTCATAAACGTTAATTGTTTCTCCGCACAATCGAACTTTGGCGTGTCAGACCATCGCACTTTAGCCCAACATGTCCATGGACATCTCAAAGGAACGAGCCATCGGACTTTGGCGTCCGTACGGACAACAAACCATCGAGGTCTGGCGAGACCATCGGACTTTGGAGTCTTACATATATATAATCCCAGTATGAAATCAGTTTTACGTAAGCGTTTCATAAATTTAAAGCTATACTACACACTCCTACAAAAGTTTTGTTCTTTTCTTGTAGACAGTGCTGTGTTATTCATCATCATACTGTAAAACTTGGTTGTGTATAATGGAAATAAAACAACACAGGTTTAAAAGTTCAGCAGGTTATATTATATTAACTCCAACTCATTTCAAATATGGTAATTAAGATGTGGCCCTGTAAAATCAATGTACAAAACCTCAGCAATGTATATAATAATCAAGTGTTCATATTATAATATATACAAAACACTATTAAATCAAAAAATAATCTCTCACTGATTAATACATATCTGAACCATTAACTCAATATCGTTATAGTTTTAACACTCATAATTAAATTTATAAAGTGATCTCCACTGAACCTATTTAATTATGAAAGTTTAGCGATAAAATAATACAATTATTTACACTTACATTTACAAATTGCATTTAACAAACGACTTACCAAAATTATGGAATTTAGGCTCTCCAAATTATCAGGAAATTTTACTAAGTGCTGTGCTATACTAAAAGAATTAAACATGCAAGTTTTTAACCACTGGAAAAATATAAATGCAGAAATCTCATCCTGAAACAATGCTCAAACTTCAAAGATAAAAAAACAAACAAAAAGTCAAACATACCATGACTGAAAATCCCAATTCCATTAAAGTAAACTGATATAGAACACAACCTGCTGGTACCACAGCACGGGACAAATGTGCCCAACACCCAAAAAGAAATTCAAAACCTGTCTATGGTCACTAGTCATGTGATTTTTATGAACCAATCGCTCAACAGAGTTTTGGCGGGAAATTAATTAATTCAACAAAATTGTAAAATAAATCAACACAGACACTTTTAATAACTTTGTAATTCTATATATTTGTAAAACTTTTATTTACCTACCTATATATCATAATTATAAATGCATAAAAATAAAAACACAATTTTACAAAATTCTGCTATGCTACTATACGAAAATAACACGTCGGCTAATATAAAAGGAGCACAATTAGTTCCCATCGTTATTCTAACAGATTGTTGGAAGACCTGGTCATTAAAGACCATGTTCATATATTATGTCAATGAAAAAATCCATCGTCTGTTTAATGCGTGTAGAAACAGTTCGGAATAATTTTAGACAAAGTGATTTTGTAGATAAATTTTAACAGTTACAACATATATATAATTTTAAGTTAAAAATGGTTTTGTCTGACACAAAAGCCTGCTCTCCAATTTATCGTGATGGATTGTGTTGTAGAACTTGGGTTTGAAAAGTTATATGCATGCATGTATTTTGTGCCATCGTTTGTACAAAGTTAGTTGACATAAATTAATATGAACATTAAAATATCTTTGTTCAAGAGGAATCAACTGTGTGAACAATAGCAGAAAAAATTGCATAACACGCTTACGCAGGGTTTTTATTTCTTCCGTTTATCTTTGGGTTTACAAAGAAAGCATGGTCTAAATTAACAAAATACCGAGACTGTTTACGTGTTGGCAAATCACATCGGGACAGCCTGCCCCTCCCTCTGTCTGTACCCCTTGCCTTATTATTACTGATATACAATCAAAAATTTATGTGAAAATTAGAGATACTCAAAATTTTATAAGTTTTTATCGATAATCAGGCACTTGCATAGAAATTCATATTTAAAAAAAATTGGGATCATTCACATGTACAGTGTACTGCATACTGTCGATAAATTAAATAGATGCCAAAGAAGGCATCGTGGTTTCCCTAGCTTATTAGTTCCCTAATAACCGGAGAGGACTATAGGTATCCTCTGAATCTGTCTGTCTGCCTGTTACAATTGTTTTTTTTTTCTTTTGAACGCTTGCAGAAATTGATCCGATTTTTGGTATGTGAGTGTATCTTTACAATGGAGTTATCCCTCGCATCTGACACAAGAAGTGGCTTCTCTTTGAGCAACTGATATCAAACACGTTTGGCATAGGCTATATGGGGGAAAAAACTTTACAATAGTGAAATTAGGAATTAAAAGATGCTTTACATACGTATATTTATAAGAAATTTAAGTACTCGCTTATTTAAGTCTAGTATTTGAATTTGTTGAGCAATGAAGGAATCTGGGCATGACCTACAATAATGGCCATGGGGAAACCCCTTACTTAATTTAAATCACTTTGATAGAAAATAAGAGGTACTGTGAGCACTGAGCTTATTCAATGATACCTCTACCTCCCATTTGATTATAATGGCAAAATGCATGTTTTGCTCATACATGTAAACAACTCGGACGGACAAAGGGAAGTGACTCTAGAATAAAAACAAGACAAAACTATGAATATAATGACACTATCCATGTTTTGCTATGGGACACCCAAAATATGTACCGGATCAAAAAATAAAATAGGAGGTGCACAATGGACATATGTAATAAAGATTCTGTGAAAGTTTTATCAAATTTCATTCAGTGGTATGAGAGATGTGGATCAGAGATGGGTTCCCCAAAGCATAACAAAGTATATTCTTCATTTCCTGGACATGAACAGGGGTAATTTTCTGCAATTGGGCATTCACATTCCTCGACTGTATCACTTAGAATAATTCTTTTAAATTAAACAAGAGGCCCATGGGCCACATCGCTCACCTGAGAAGCTTTGACCATTCTGTTCTTTACCAGATTTCACCCTTGTTGTACATAATGCATCCCCACCCTACCCCACTGATCAAATTTAGACATTTTGAAATTTACAAAATCCATGATTTCCATGGGCACATATGTTTCAGTATTTTTGGCCAAGTGGTTCCTGAGAACAATTTTCAAAGATTTTTCCTATATATTTCTATGTAAAAATGCTGATTCCCAAAATGGCCCCAAGTTTTTGGACCTTCATCCCGGGGGTCATAATTCCTATAATTTAGAATTAACATAACCCAGAATGCTTCCACATTAGCTTCACTTTTTCTGGCCAAGTGGTTCTTGAAAAGAAAATTTTCAAAGATTTTTCCTATATATTTCTATATAAAACTTTGATTCCCCATTGTGGCTCCGCCCTTCCCCCGGGTGTCATTATTTGAACAATTTAGAATCTACATTATACCAGGATGCTTCCACATAAGTTTCAGCTTTTCTGGCCCATAGGTTCTTGAGAAAAAGATTTTCAAAGATTTTTCCTATATATTTCTATGTAAAACTTTGATACCCCATTGTGGCCCCGCCCTTCCCCTGGGGGTCATTTTGAACAATTTAGATATTTACACTATACCAGGATGCTTCCATATAAGTTTCAGCTTTTCTGGCCCAGTGGTTCTTTAGAAGAATATTTTCAAAGATTTTTCCTATATATTTTATATAAAACTTTGATTCCCCATTGTGGCCCCACCCTTCCCCTGGGGGTCATGATTTGAACAATCTAGAATGTGCACTACCCCATATTTATGCTTCCACATAATTTTCACTTTACTGGCCCAGTGGTTCTTGAGAAGAAGATTTTTTAATGACCCCACCCTATTTTTGTCTTTTCTTGATTATCTCCCCTTGCGAAAGGGATATGTCCCTTCATTTTAACAATTTAAATTCCCCTTTACCCAAGGATGCTTTGTACCAAGTTTGGTCAAAATTGGCCCAGTGGTTCTTGAGAAGAAGATTGGTGTGAAATGTGAAAAGTTTACAGTTTCGGACAGCTAGACAGGACGGACCAACAATTCAAAGTGTGATCAGAAAAGCTCACTTGAGCCTTCGGCTCAGGTGAGCTAAAAAGGCAATTTCAACATTTACGACACTTCCTCTGTAATACAATAAAATTTCTTCAAAAAGATGTTCAGCCTCAATTTACCACCCAGTTTCAAATCACCAATGAAAAACAAACACCAGGGTAAAATTTCAGATCCTTTTATTTTTTAAAAAATCATTTTTAGGTCGTGTAAGTCCCGATTCCTACAGTTACTATTATTAATGCCAAATGAAACCATTCTAACAATTTCACTAACCATTGGTAACAATTTTCATGGCAGGCAAGTCAAAATGCTCACGGTCCCAAAACAAAGCCCCAAGTTTTTGGACAGAGAACATGTGACATGTTTCCGAGATGGTCCACTTTATTTTTTCCAACGCATAAAAATAACTAGTTGTCAGCTGGCAGTTCATACTTCACTCACATTTCAAAAAAAAAAAAATATATATAAAAATTTGCATACCGTTCTGTTAAATGTACTATCAACAAATACTTGAAACAATTGATTGCACACATCCAACATTCTTCTCGCAACACAAAAAGAAACTTCCATTCACACATTAAAAAAAATGGCAAACATACAAAAATTGTTAAAACTAAGCCATTGATGCAGAGGATGCAATGTGATGGTAGCTAATGAAACTAGATGAACTGAGATTTCCATTTCAATACTTTTAATACAGATTTAACTTATGACTTTAATCTCTTGTAATGTGTATTGCAATTATGAATATTTTAATTCAAAAGTTCATATTTGAAAGCAATACTAATATCCCAATCATAGTGAATTTAAGCAACATGTATACAAAAAAATAATTATATTACAGTTATATATACAAGGTTTGTCCTGAATATATGTTTTTATAATAACCTTTTTAGGGGAATGTAACAAAAACATCAGAGGAATAATAAAAATTCTATCCTATCTGTTATATTTAGGGTAGCTAATTAAACATCACAGATAAGAAAGACTTGTTCTCAGAACAATAAAGAAAATTTGTAGTTACTAATTAAGCCCTTAATTCCATTAAAATTTCTCCAGATAAAGTTATTCCCCGTTTTCCCTGGTGGCCTTCTGACCTTTTCCCTATGGTATCTTCTCTCTATTACCTTCAAACATAAGGTTCCTCCAAAAAAACACATCCATTTTATTAATAGCCACCCCTGCAACACTGATTGGTGTGAGAAAAAAAATTAGTTAAGTTTCCTAGAACATGCAACAGGTTAATCCACCAACAATTCAAAGTGGACCATGCCAGCCTTCTCCAGGACATTGTGTCGGATGTTTCTGGCATAAGCTTTACATTGCACCATCACAAGGACTCCCGGCATGGGTTTAACGAATCGAGCCATCACCAAGGGGGAGCGGTACACTTGCTGGTTAAGGAATGGGAAATATTTAAAATGGAATCCACCTTGTGGGTAGTATTCAATGGGTCCAATGTTGTCATTATCAGCAGGGTTCTACAAAATAAATATGCCACACATGCTCAAAATATTCCACTAAATTGCAGAAATGGAGAAATTTTATATAACTTCTTATTGAATATTTATTAATCCTTTAGCACCTCTTCCCCTTATATCTATGACTGTGCTATAAGTAGTACAATTCTAAGTTAACATTGGACTTTAAGTAAGCTCCACCTCTTTGCCGTACGAGATGCTGTGATTAGATATTTGCTCAAGTCATTAACATTCGCATGAATTTCTGTTCCATATATATTTAAATAGTGAATGAAACCTGTAAATTTCAGATGCTAAATACGTAACGCTTAGAATGTCTTGCCTTATGGAAAGTCCAAGGTTAACTGAGACTTGTACTAACTACACATAACCCCTATACTAACCTCTCCCTCACACTTGACTGTGATATGATAGGGCTCCCAAAGATCGGCAATCTCTGCTGGGACTGTACTGTTTGTGTAGGACTCAGGCTGCCAGTCAAAGATCTGAAACATTTAGTCAAATTTTAAATCCACTCAAAGCATTCTGTAGCCAGAATAGGCTCCCCTTACAATGAACATCTAAAAGTTATCAGAAGTCTAATCTGATCTGTCACAGCTTCAACACTAAACAAAACTCAGATATCTACCTTGTTGAGCTTCAATAGAATACATGGCATTCCATCATCAAAGCCAAATGTCTGTTGCTTGACACAATCTGCTCCAAGGTTAGCAGTCAGATCGAATCGACAGGCCTTATCCCAGTCCTTCTCCGGCCGCCGTCCAGTCACTGAGTCACAGTCAGCTACGGTACCTCCATCCTGAGGACCCAGGTTCTGGTTCTCGTAATCTGAAAATTACACAGTCTCAATTAAAGTACAAGCTACACAGTATTGTAAAAGTTACACAGTCTTCATTAAGTACAAGCTACACAGTATTGTAAAAGTTACACAGCCTTCATTAAGTACAAGCTACACAGTATTGTAAAAGTTACACAGTCTTCATTAAGTACATGTTACGCAGTCTCAATTAAGTACAAGTTATGAAGTTTTATAAAAGTTACTTAGTCTCAATTAATTAAGACTAATTAAGTGCTACTTACATTCCAGGTAGGCCTGTATGTGGTCTGTGTAGGGTGAGTATGTGGAGGCGTCAGCTTTTACGAATCGGACCAAAGTTGTCTGTACATCAGGAATAGGACGGAATCCAAGCCCTGTCAAAATCAAATCAACCACTTACATTTCTCTCCCTGTTCATATTATAATAGTAAAGCAGGTTGTTAGTTTTCATCCTTTGTGCTTATTACAATTTTCATTTTTCATTCCTTTATATTGTACCATATTGTATTAAACTGTTTAGTATTATTTTCATATTTCCACTTCCTATCTGATAAATTGTTAAGGAGATAAATCTTTATCTAAATTTTCAGCAAGAAGTTAAATTTAAATCATGCCTTCATCTGTTTGTACATAAATAACCTGCAAAAAGTTTAGTGATGTCTAAAACATAAATGATCCCCCATGCACACTCTACAGTAACAGGTGAGCTGCAGTCTTACCGGGGTTTTGTTTGAGGAGGGTATCCGGCCCCTGGAGGCGGGGGTAGTTCCAGTCCAAGGTCTGGTAGAAGATAGCCATCATACCAGCAAAGAAAGCCGACAGACAGGAGTAATAAATCAGGTAGAAAACACCAATCTGGGCTGTAAGAGAGAGGAGGGAAATATAGATAAATACAGCTTCACTTCAAATTTAAAATATAGATAAAACATAGCTTCACTTTAAATTCAAATTAAACAAAATATGGATTAATATAGCTGAATTTAAATTGTACAAAATAGGGATAAATTATTAAATATATAGCATTGCTTTCAAATGCTTTGAATTTAAATTATACAAAGTACATTTTTTTTTCTTTATGAGAAGATGTTCATTAATGAAATGAACTTTAACCTTCAAAGAATTTTCATATACATATCACAAAAAGGCCATTGGTCCCATGGGGAGGCGGATGTCCCTAATAATTTGGCCCGTATGTTTGGGTCCCCTATTTCTGGCTTTTCAAGGAAACTTTGCTTGGTAGTGCCCCTTCATGAATATGAAAATTCCCTCCCATCCATACACTGAAATTGTTTCCTTGGGGGATCATGCACAATACCAAAATCCCTCAATAAATGGGGTTTTGGAAAAAAGTGTATTTCTATATTTTAGTCCATTTTTTTCCAAATTTCCTAAACTTAGATTTTATTAATATAATTTGGATGTAAAAAGGTTGAATGTTAAGCAGTACACCTCCCAAATTAATTACTTTGGTAGTGTATGTAAAATAAGGTGTTTGTGTGTCAATTTGCATTTTCATGCATCACTGCTTTAGCTTATGTTTACAATATGTACAATGCACAGAAAGTTGACATTAAAATGTCTCCAGCACTTTCAATTCGGGAAAACATGTGGTTTGTTCTTAATTAAGATTATTTGGCCACTTAGTCCTAATTTAAAATAACAGCGCTATCTGATTCACATCAATTTTGAGTTGCAGTGATATTGGATTTTACATTCCAACAAGGGATTGAATACTGTTTTTGTAGTTTGTACTTATATCTAAAGCCATCCTATAAAAGCAGTTTGACAAAACAGTTACATGTAGAGAGTTACATAATATTACCGATTATTACAAGACATCTTACAAAGGTTACCTGTAGGCAGTCAGGTGGACAAATCATTGTGTCTAGCCCACTGTTTAGGTACCACTGTTTACACTCTGTATTAAAAAACTGACTTACACACCACAAAGGGGACTGAATACAGGGATAAAATAAAGACAATTTATTTATTTTTTTCTTCACACACTGAATATAAAAGGAAATTCACTCCTTTTAATTTCGACCACATTTTTTAAGCTCTTCTCTTGTCATTTTCATTTTTCTATTATTTGTTTGAATTTGAGTAAACAGTATAAAACTTTGAGATTGGCATTTTTATGTAGTGTCATAAATTTAACTTTGTGATGGAGGACATTTCCTTTACACAAGTCTAAAATAGCTACACTTGTTTCACATTATCACTGCACGCGATGACAGTCGAAAGTGAAGGTGACCTGTAATTTATTCATAAAATATTAGACGTCTTGGTGAAATTAGCCCGGGGCCATGGTGCTCCTTAAGACATATTCTGACACGGCATTCAAATGTGTTTTCTTCTACACAATCTCTGACGACTACAATGACTTCTTTGGTTTCCTTTGTTAATAAAATATTACTTCTTCCCAATAAATCACTAAGCAAACAACTTCTATCAATACTTTCATGTAAAAATCCACTAATTTAAAAAAAGGCAATTGACGCATATCAACTATCTCTGCTTGACACTATTTTTATAAATAAGTTTTAAATTTTTGTTAAATCTGTCTTTACAGAAACATCTGTAAGTACAATGTATGATGATATATGGTAGAATAAATATAAAATATTAAACTCAGTCAAGCAGAAAATTTCAAATCCAAATTTTGATTCTTTCACTTGGAAGGAGTTTGAAGGTCAAAAGATTTGGAAAATATAACATTCACAATCATACTTATAATTTCTCAATATCAATAAAAAATTACACACCAGCAACAGGGATAGATAGTAATGTTGCGAAATGTTCATTGAACCAAACTACTATGCATTACTTCATACAAGATATTTTTAAAATCGTCTGTTCAAATAATGTACATGAAATATTGAAAAACAGCAATATAAATGAAGTGAGAACTAAAATATGCATAATTTTAAAATAGAGGTATACAAGAATTGAAGAACTATCTCTACATTTGTACACTTCACCCTGTCCTGGGCCCCGTAGACAGAGGACAATCGGCAAAGGTCATTTGGAGAAGGCTGTATATTTCCTTGACTAAACCCGGTTAATTCCTCTAAATATTCCCATTATTAAAAACTTATGTACGACTTGGTCGCCGGGCACCCACTTACCACTAATTTTGTTTAAAATGCGCCACTTGCAAATTATTTTAAAGAACGCTAACTGCAGAGGACAAGATAACCCTGCAAAGTTCCGTTGTTGTTTAAAAACTTACCCCAGCTTTTCCCAGTTCTTCCGAGAACTTGCCCCTCCTCAGCATTATACACAAAGGTACAGAAATCATTTACTCGTTGTCTGACGGATGGATTTTGAGGTGGAACCGTTGTAGCCGTTTCAACACCTGTACTAGCGGTGGACGCCATTTTTCCTGCTGAAGGTAATGAGAGAGTGGAAGAAAGCCCGGATGTTACACTATTATAGATATAAGATCACGTGACTATGACGTATGTTTATGTAAATAACTTTATTTGTATATTTCTTTCAGGTTTACAATGTTTAAAAAAGAGAGAGAGAGAATAAATGGAGAGAATTCTCCATTTTATATGAAGTAGAAGATAAATTAGGAGAAACAAACAAATGCATTATCCAGCAAGGTCTGTCCACATGGTCCATTGCTGTGACATAAAAACTACAGTGTATATATACTCTTTCATATTGTCTAATTTTTAAAAATCCTTTTAAAGTATCTTCGCTAGCCTTTAATTAAAATATATTTTACAGTTAGAAGAATTGTTTTTTTCAAAGTTATGTTTTTTCTTTTAACGAAATGCGATAAAGAAACTAATTAATTAATTATAAATAGGAAAGTATATATATGAATATATACCTGTAAGTAAGATAAATAAATAAATAAATAAATAAATAATAAATGTTTGAACATATTGTAACTCGGTCATGACCAATATAAATTGCTGTTCTTGACAAGGATTTTTAAAAGATTTTTTCGTATATATATTCCTTTGTAAAAATAAAAAATGATTCCCTTTTTCGGCAAAGAATTTAACAAGGTTGAATTACCCTACATAAAAAAGTCTTCAAATACTCCAATAAACGTTTCTTCAATAAAATTCACATGTATTGAAATAAGAAAAATGATTTTCACGTTTGGACGATTTACTATTTTTTTTTTGGCTTGTTATTTTCTTTCAGGTAAAAATTTGCGGCTTTTCTCTTCCAACTACCCCCCCCCCCCCTTCCCTTCAATAGTTTGCTTCCGACTATTTTTAAAATATATCTCAATGAACTTGAAATTAAAAAAACACCACAGAGTCTGACACATCTGTATTTTCTAACAAGATAGACAGCATTAAATCGAAATGACCCCAGTTCTTGACTGACTTGTTTTATACCAATTTTGGCTGACCTTTTTTCATACTAATTAGAAGCCCCAGTAATCCAAGATTCGGGTGTTTGATCTGACCTTCCGCCCGTCTGTCTGCATGTTTGTCAGCAAAATGTTCATAGGCGTCGGAACCGGGGGGGGGGGGTGCTAGGGGTACTTATAATCCCCCCCCCCCACTTTTTTGGCAAATATATACATAATATAGGCATTTAAAATTGGAGTTATCCTTTTTTTGTTGGTTTATCCCCACTTTCAATTTTGCTTCCGACGCCTATGATATTTAACATTTCCTATTATTATCATTTTACAAACAGCGTGACAGTTTGTTTGATGGGGCGTGCTAAAATTTTATGTGCTAGTTATCATTTTACTCGTCGATTGGATCAATGAAATCAATATACTGATTTACACATGAAACTCGGAATATACAACAGTACCCTGATTATACTGGCCAATCACATTAAATGATTGTTTACGGCATTTGTATTCCGCAGCAACACGTGGTCAGCCAAAGCCCGTTTTCTTGTAATTGTATTATTATATATAATAATTTTGAATGAATGTAGCTATAGTTTCACATGTTACATTGTATTACCTTTCTCTTGGTACCGACATATTTGGCCTTTACACTTTACACATGACAATCTTTACATTTTATCATAACTTTGGAGTGTTTGTGCATAGACCTAGATCGTTTTGGGTCTGTGGTTTGTGCTAGGCCTTCCCTACCTGGCCTTTACACTTTACACATGACAATCTTTACACTTTGTCATAACTTTGGAGTGTTTGTGCTAGACCTTTCTCACCTGGCCTTTACACTTTACACACGACAATCTTTACACTTTGTCATAATTTTGGAGTGTTTGTGCCAGGCCTTTCTTACCTGGCCTTTACACTTTACACATGACAATCTTTACACTTTGACATAACTTTGTCCAGAGTGTTTGTGCTATAGGCCTTTCTCACCTGGCCTTTACATTTTACACATGACAATCTTTACACTTTGACATAACTTTGGAGTGTTTGTGCTAGCCCTTTCTTACCTCACGGGTATATTTATCATAACTATAGACCTTTCCATGGATAATTGGATATATATACTTTTTGACCTAAGCCTTTGAGTTTGACCCACTTTTTGAAAATTATAACCTGTCAATTACCTTTGAACAATTGGTTCTTCGGCTTTAATATTTCACAGGTTCATTCCTTGTAACAAGATCTTTATTTGGATACCAACCGTTTTGGGACTTGGGGGCTGGCCTTCCTTTTGATAAAATGTTAATCTTGTCCATAACTCTGAACAGTTAGTTCTTGGTCTTTTTTTTTTTATTTCATATGGGTACAAATGTACTTCTTACATAAAGACCTTTCTCTGGGTACAATTAAATACGAGTTTTTAAGCTTTTGACCTGGGAGTTTGGCCAATTAAAAAAAATAACTTGACAATAAATGGAACTCGTAAACTTACACATCGTTTCTTTGGCCATTTCTGGAATTATTTTGTTAAAAGACATTCAAATGCTGAATGTATACATAAGTACTCTGAATTTCATATTATATATAAGAAGATGTTTGAGTTTCTGACTGACAATTTATGTATGTGAATTTTGGAGACATGGCCTTAGGATCATGAAACAAACATAGACTTAAATGTTCATTAATTCTTGAATTAACCTCAAAATTTGCAAATAACAACACTTTTGTGAGTCAATACTGAAACATATTTTGATTTTGATATGCTTGATTTCTACAACATTTCAGTACAACATGAAGATTTTGACTTAAGCTTAAGATGTTTCATGATCACGGGGCCAGGCCCAAAACTGAGAATAGACATAAGTCAAAATTTTAAACCGATAAAACTCGCGTATTAAGTTTGATAATAAAATAAGATTTTCAACATATCTTGGAATTGTAATGTTATGCAGAATTAATTACATGTATTTTCAAGCTAATAAGTTAAACAAATCTAAAGATATTAAAATAAAAAATTATGAATTACGTTCGTTCTCAGTTTATGGTCTTGGGGCCTGGTTTTCTGAAAATCTATTCAGTGGAAATCCCATGGATATCAATAGCGTCCCATTATTAGCAGACATATTTTTGTATTCATGTGAAGTAAAATTTGACCAAAATCTTATACGTGAAAAGAAGAAAGCACTTGTTGTGGCCTTTAACTCGAAATTTAGACGTATCGACGACGTATTGTCAATTTACAATTATTATTTCCATTCTCATGTCGATACGATATATCCTGTTGAGCTTGAGGTAAAAGATACCACAGAGTCAGACGCATCTTTTTCATATTTGGATATTTTACTTGAAAAAGACGTTAATGGTAATCTAACAACCAAGCTCTATGATAAACGTGATGACTATAGCAACATAGAGTGTATTGAAACTTCAAACCATGGCCGTAGAAACCGGGAGGGGGAGGGGGGGGGTGCCCTCCTCGATAATTTTGCCGATATAAAAATATTTACACATGTACAGTAAAATTCGTTTAGTATTTAGTCGCATATTGCGAATTAAGGCAATCTGATTAAAATCAGATCCTCGATCCGCTCCTTTGGTTTTTTTTTTTATTGTCGCTACCTCGTGTAGCGACAATAAAAAAAAAAAAAGGAGCGGATCGAGGATCTGATTTTAATCAGACTGCGAATTCACAGATATATCGAAGTTATCTAGGATCCCCAGCTATAACAAGATGTGTTTGGGAAACACTGATGCCCCCGTATGGCAACAAAGCGAAGGTTAGCTTTTTCAAATGCAGATCAAATACTAATATCCCAGATAGCAAGACTATGTTGGGCCAACATTGGCAAAAGGTTGTATGGTTGGCGTTGGGGAAACAACGTTGGGCCAACGTTGGACCAATGTCACCATGCCAACCTCCTCTTCCATGACAGAATTCCTATGTTGGCCCAACGTTGGTCCAACGTTAGAAACTTCCATTCACTTTGCTTCCCAAGGAAGGAGGGATGTTGATGTTGGCCCAACGTTGGCCCATTGTTTAAAGAAAGTGTCTTTTAAAGTTGGTAGTAGTATGTTGGCCCAACGTTGGCCCGATATTTGTAATTTACCCTTAAAGAAAGTGCCTTTTAATGTTGGTAGTAGTATGTTGGCCCAACGTTGGCCCGATGTTTGTAATACACCCTTAAAGAGAGTGTCTTTTTAAGTTGGTAGTAGTATGTTGGCCCAACGTTGGCCCGATGTTTGTAATACACCCTTAAAGAAAGTGTCTTCTAAAGTTGGTAGTAGTATGTTGGCCCAACGTTGGCCCGATGTTTGTTATACTCCCATAAAGAATGCGTCTTATCAAATTGATAGTAGTATGTTGGCCTAACGTTGGCCAAATGTTGGTAATACATCCTTAATAAAGTGTCTTATCAAATTGTTAGTAGTATGTTGGCCCCATGTTTGTTATACACCCTTAAAGAAAGGGTCTTATGCACATGCATGATTATTTATTTGAAATAAAACCCTTGAAATTATGAATTTTTTCATGAGAATTTAGAGAAGACTGAATACGTTCTCAGGAACAGGATATGAATGAAGCCTACATATACATAAATCAAAATGACACAGCTTTATAATTAAATTGATACAAAAGTTAGGCGTTCGCTATCACGTGACCAAACTGTGGAGTGAGCTGTCAGATTCAATTGCAGGGCAAGCAAGAAGAAGTGAAATTTAAATTTGTGGATTATACACTTGCCATGCTTGCTATACAGCTGCATTTAGAAGCGATGTAAGTATATTTATTCTTATTTATTCAGGTTAACTGTTAAAATTGATTCGGAATTCATTCTTGTCATGTTTTTGCACACAAGCACTGTAAGTTGTTTCTATCTATCTGATTCTTAACTGTCTATTACAGACACGATTGTAACAAAGAAATTCAGTCAGAGACTGTAAGGAAAACAAATGTTGTGGCGGTACATGTAAATAACAATGAAATCGAAGGCCATGTATAAAGAAGTGTATAAAGTATGGGTCCGTATGACAAAAATCAAGACGATGAAAAAATGAGGCGATATTACCGAAAAAGAGCGGGAATACAACAAAAGGACTATAATTAAGGAAGTGAGCCCTGATTAAGAACTTTTAATTGATAATTTTTCATAATTTACCTCTATTGTCTATTTTAAAATTTCTTTTGTAAATTATGATTGAATTGATGTCTATAAAATATTATCACAGTGAATCATTAGTAATGTTTTCATTGAACATGTCCATGTATGCATTATGAATGCAGATTGAATTGTGAATTAATTATTTTAAACAGTCATAAAATAGGTTTATGTAAAGAATCACTTAACCAATTGCAAATGTTTCTATGTAATAACTACGTTGGCCCAACAATTTGCCATCTGACATTGTAAAAAAAAAGGGTCAACATTGGGCCAACCTAACCAACCAGTTGTTAAGGTTGTCTGTTAGTTGGCATACACTAAAAACTACATTGGCCCAACAATATGCCATCTGACATTTCAACATAGGGCCAACGTTGGGCCAACCTAACCAAACAGTTGTTAAGGTTGGCTGTTAGTTAGCATACACTAATAACTACGTTGGCCCAACAATATGCCATCTGACATTTCAACAAAGGGCCAACGTTGGGCCAACCTAACCAAACAGTTATTAAGGTTGGCTGTTAGTTGTCATACAATTATACCTACGTTGGCCCAACAATATGCCAACATGTTGGACCAACGTTGGGCCGATGAGCAAAATTACCATGGGCTAACGTAAGGTTACCAACAGTGGGCCAACGTTGGAAAAAAAATTGGGCCAACGTTGGCCCAACTATGTCTTGCTATCTGGGATGTTGGTACCTAAAGTAAGGCCTTTTCACAAGAAATATAAATGTGAAATATAAATCCCTCGCGCCACCTGTTCAAAGGTATTGACCAAGGTTAACGTTTTTAAAGGTAGGACAAACTCCGGGGTCAAGGTTGTTGGTTTCAAAAGATAAGCCATGTCTCAAATATTACATATGGAAAGTATGAAAGGCTGGCCTTTACTGTTCAACAGTTATAGCCAAGGTTAAAGTTTGTAAAAAGTAGCTCAAAATCCAAGGTCAACGGGTCAAAGTTGTCGACATTCAATTAACTATGAAAGCCCTAGCTCTTACCGTTCAAAAGTTATGACCAAGGTAAAGTTTTTTCGTAAGTACGGAAATGTCCAAGGTCAAAAGGTCAAATTGGTGGTTTGAAATGAAAAGGTCTTGCCACAAAGAATTGTTATTTGAAATATGTAATCCCTAGTATCTGTCGTTTAAAAAATAGGGCCAAAGTAAAAGTTTGGATTTTTTGTGCAAAAATGGGCCAGACTCCAAGGTCAAGGTCAAAGGGTCAAGGTTCTTGATACCAGATGATAGGTCTTGTCACAAGGACTAAATATGTGAAGTATGAAAGCCCTAGTTCTAACCCTTCAAAAATTATGTTCAAGATTGTATTTGAAAAGTAGGTCAAACTCCAAGGTCAAGGTCAAAGTCCTTGGTATCCAATCAGCCGCGTAGGAAGTGGGGGGGGGGGGGCAGCCAAAGAAATTTTTTTTACTCCTTACTTGAAAAAGTTGACAAGCAAAGAGGTCAAATACCATGGTACCCAAAGGAAGGGCTTGTCACAATGTGAGATATGACAACCATCAAAAGTTAACAGACAGAGGGACACGCTAAAAACTTTTTATTTCAGAATCTTCGATTGCAGGGGGGGGGCATAAAAATTAATTATCCGAAAATGAGTTGAAACCTTCCCTAATCCCCTCCTTGCTACATTTATCACTGTTTATCGATATAATAGTAGAGTAATCCGGAATTGTATCTTCCTACCGGAAGTGACAATAGAAGAAAGAAAACATTGACAGCCATGTTTACGAAGTCAAAGTCGATCATATCAGTCAAAAATTATGTAAACAATTGAAAGAAAACCCACAATTTAGGATAGTTTTGTTAAATTCAGGTAAAGCAATGGTTAAGATAATTTAAGATATGGATATTTATGGTAATATGGATAAATATGGATGACAGTGTCAGTCAGTGTACGAGTCTCCAGGGCAGAATGGTTTCCTTTCGCCAGAAGTCTTACATTTAGCAATATCTTATCACAAGCCTTTACAAAGATGAGGTGCAGTCATATAGATTTATTTGCCAAGACATATGATTTTTAAGAGGATCAATGAGTAAAATCAGTAAAATGAAAAATCATTTTTATTATTAAAAAGATAAAACCTGAAAACTGAAAGTAGGTTAATCTGATTATCATAATCATGTTAATACAAAACTAACGTCAAAATATTAAGTCTATTTAAGGAATAACTGTCTTCTCATATATCTTTGTAAGTGCTGATTTGACAGTCGTTAATTGAGTTTTATTGACAATGCTTAATATGACTTTTTAAGTTGACAATGCATCTGTTAGGGCGAGCGCAGATACTTATACAGTTTTAATTTAGATCGTGCTCTTCAAGAATTTATTTATTTTACAATTCAAGATAAATTTTCTGGATTCCCAAATATTGTCTCTTGAAAAATAATTATAATTATCAATTATGTGTATTTCATTGCTAATGTTTTAAGTATGATGACGTGATACCAAATTCCCATACACATTTCTTACTCTGATCAATGTATGACATCATAGGTCATGAACTTACAAATCATGAATGAATAATGAATGAATGACACATGCACATTATGTGTACATAGTAACTACACTATAACATAATCCTGTTACACTCACAGCATCCATACAGGAGAATATACCGAGTTATGGTTTATTGTTAGATCTATTCAAAGTTAGGTATAACTGATATTTCTAAGTCAAACATAATTTTGTTGGGTGTTATAATCTTTGGATTTTTTTGCTACTCAGACATTATTATGGAACTTTTTAAAGATGGATCGAGGTCTTTTACAGAAGGAGAGACTGATGAATGTCTGTCATTGCGTTGCACCTTCATTTGAGATGAAAAGGCATCGTCGGAAACCCAGGGGTGATCTCGTCTTTACTTATCACCCGTGGGCAAACTCGCTGAAAAATCATTATTGTGTAATTAAATATGCATGGGTCATTTGATTGGCTGCTTCACAGAATTGCGATGCCAAACAGTGAATTACAGTTCCTGTTACGTATGCATGTTCGGCATTGCCAAAAACATGAAAAACTCATTCTGTAGTTAACACAAAGGATAAATCCACTCACCGGCGCATTTTGCAGTTAGAAAGAGGACTCCAATATAATATCTGACGGATATTAATGTCAGTGACATGTACGAATTGACTTTCATTGTTCTAAATCAAACTTTGCATGTTTTAACAAGCGTCAAAATATTTACCATAAATAACAAAGTAAAAATGTATTTTTCAAAAATGAAAAGTTCCAACTTTCTGATTGGTTGACTAAAAACAACATATTAGCATATTGTACGGCGATATTTCGGTGACTTTGCCCACGGGTGATAAGTAAAGATGAGATCACCCATGGGTTTCCGATGATGATGAAAAGGAGAACAGTGGTTGATCTTTAAAAAGCTCTAAACAATTTAAAATCAGAGTGTACCAGTGAACATTGACCCACAAAAATGCCAGAGGTGGGATCAGTAATGTAAATATTTTTTCAGTAACGAAATAAGAACATGAAGAATGATCATACAGCTCCTAATGATAAAATCATTTAATGTCATTTTATTTAAAGTTGTTACAGAGTAAGCAGCCATATTTTATAAATCAAGAAATCTTTATATCATGAACAAGTAGAAAAGACATTGACAAAGTGTCAACATTATTTTTGTAAAAAAGCTGGAGGAAGGAAGCTTAATGTCATCTTGATATAAGTAGCTGATTGTAAAATGTGCAAAGGAAAAGGAGTTAATCTTTTTATGAAGGTTAATTGTAGAGTCCAATTTTGTAACAAGGAAGGTATTATGAAATAAATATTTTCTGAAAATTGGTATATAAATGAATATTAGAAATATATAGTTTGTTTTTGTTTAATTTAGTAAAAATGCTGGAAAAAATCACTTGAAATATCATTTCAGAAAATTGGTAAAATTTCATATAGGTGTAATATTCACTGTCTTGAATTAGACTAGAAAAGTAGCACATCTGTCACCCGATTAAATGGATGATGTTAAGCAGGATGAATTTTTTAAAATCAACAACCCTTCAGTAAGTTATCTTGTAGATTGATTGGAAAAACTGTATGTGTACAGGGCTCTCACACCACTCTTTGGGACTGGGGCCGGGGCTGTTCAATTTGGGAAAATTATCGTCATTTTGGGAAAAGTTGGATAACACAAATTCATTTAAAAAAAATCCTCAAATTTTGCTTTTCTAGCATTTTATCATCAATGCTAACTCTGGTTTGAATAAACAGTTAAACAGAACAAACATGGGTACGTAGGCTATTTATGAAAGTACATTAGCTTTGTCATTACTATCTTTGAGTGTTGATATTGGGTTATATGTCTTACTGCGTGACAGTCGCTAGTCACATAGTCCCAAATTTCCTCGATCACATGGGCAACTTTGCTTACCAATACAGAGCGAGACTGAACATGCCGAAGCGCGGGTATGTTTCTAGGTGCAGCTTACTAATGTTTAAATGAAATGTCTATTTTTGAAACCAAAATGCTGGTTTTTGTCGAAACTACATAACAAGATACTCTGCACTCATAGTTGTATACATTTTTGTAAAAACAATAACCTGGTTCCCCGAACCAGTTTACATAGTACAGTTTCACTTTCATTTGCAAATGTGTTTTGTTTGTTTTTTTTTTTTTTTTGCGATTAGTTTTGATGGACTTTTATTTTTTAATTAACATTTTACTCTGGATGGAAATTGGGAAATTTACACCTTTCTTTTGGGAAAAAAGGTACCTTTTTTGCATTGGGATCTCCCCAATTTTAAAAGAGCCCTGGTGTAGTCATTTCAAGTACTATGTACATGTTACACCAATTTTGGCCTACCTTAATTTGGAGGGGCAAAGAGTGTTGTCTGTTTTAAAGTTGGGTACAGGTAATGAAACAGTATACATAGACCATGCCAGTATTTTGGATTAATACAATACTTTTTTATTGATCTCTAAAAGGCTCCGAATAGCCATCAAGTTTTGATGAAATAACAAAAAAAAAAAAATTGAAGGATGAATATTAATTACATGTAATGTATGAAATTTGACTTGAATTGGACAAATTTTATTTTATACAGGACGATGCCTGTGGACTGCCCTATACCCCAGCATATGACCGGGCTGTTATTAACTCTGTTTGTCTATTTTATACAGGACGATGTCTGTGGACTGTCCTATACCCCAGCATGTGACCGGGCTGTTATTAACTCTATTTGTCTATTTTATACAGGACGATGCCTGTGGACTGCCCTATACCCCAGCATGTGACCGGGCTGTTATTAACTCTGTTTGTCTATTTTATACAGGACGATGTCTGTGGACTGTCCTATACCCCAGCATGTGACCGGGCTGTTATTAACTCTGTTTGTCTATTTTATACAGGACGATGTCTGTGGACTGTCCTATACCCCAGCATGTGACCGGGCTGTTATTAACTCTGTTTGTCTATTTTATACAGGACGATGTCTGTGGACTGCCCTATACCCCAGCATATGACCGGGCTGTTATTAACTCTATTTGTCTATTTTATACAGGTCGATGTCTGTGGACTGCCCTATACCCCAGCATGTGACTGGGCTGTTATTAACTCTGTTTGTCTATTTTATACAGGACGATGTCTGTGGACTGTCCTATACCCCAGCATGTGACCGGGCTGTTATTAACTCTGTTTGTCTATTTTATACAGGACGATGTCTGTGGACTGTCCTATACCCCAGCATGTGACCGGGCTGTTATTAACTCTGTTTGTCTATTTTATACTTGACGATGTTGTCTATTGTCCTATACCACAACTGTGACCTGGCTGTTATTAACTCTGTTGTGATATAGAAGTGGTGAGTTGTCTGTGATATAGAAGTGGTAAGTATAAGCCAGCATGTGACCGGGCTGTTATTAACTCTATTTGTCTATTTTATACAGGTCGATGTCTGTGGACTGCCCTATACCCCAGCATGTAACCAGGCTGTTATTAACTCTGTTTGTCTATTTTATACAGGACGATGCCTGTGGACTGCCCTATACCCCAGCATGTGACCGGGCTCTACTTGTTTGCCGTCATTAACTTGGTTTGTCTATTTCATGCCACAACCGTCTCCTGTGATATAGAAGTGGTAAGTTCTCCTGTGATATAGAAGTGGTGAGTTGTCTCCTGTGATATAGAAGTGGTAAGTGGTAAGCCATGAGTCAAAAAGTAGAGGATAAGTGGTAAATATAAAGGGGCAGGTGGTTGTGGCCATTTTTAGTACCGTTTTGTGTATTAAAAGTAAAGGTAATGTAAATGCATATACAGTTAAATATAAATTTTAAAGGTAAAATTTATGTAATTTTTCAGTGTAATGATAAGTACAGGTAAGTTAATGTACAGGTAAGTGTAAATACACTAATAACAGGTAAATATAAGTACAGTATAAGTTCAGGAAAATAAAAGTACAGTTAGTGTAAGTCAAGTAAATGTTAAGTACATGTAATGTAAGTAGTGTTAGTACAGGCAAAATGTCATATATTTAAGTACAGGTTACTGAAAGGCTTTAGAGCTAGGTTACTAGTCACTTTTCTGATTAAGTAGACTATGCAGTGGTCCCTTAAAATTGCATTAAAGGGGCTGGGTGGTTGTGGCCATTTTTAGACTATTTTGATCTCCATTAGAAGAAGAGCTCCATATATAGAGGATTTTTTTATATATTAGTGATTTTCATATTGGCTTTATCCAACTTTTTCTTATGGTCATATATATTAAAGTAGGCTTATAAATGTACAAAATGATACAAAAACAAAAAGTTTCAACGAGTTGGATAAGAGAGAAATCAAATCACACAATTATGGATTTTTGGCTCAAATCTACGACTTTCGTTTTAAAGCAAAACTTCTAGTTTGTTTGAAAAATCATATTTATTGCTATATTCAAATTGATGACGTATAACTTGATGACGTACACCGTTGATGTCTCATCCCTCGAAAGAATTAGTAGATCTTGTTCAAAATTTAGAATTTTTGCTATCTGCGTCTTTGAAAACATTATGTGGCAATTGCTGGCACTTTACATCAAACGAACTTTTGACTTAAAGTTGTAAGGACCATGAGGATCGAAAAATGGACTTTTGTAAATGGCAGTACAAAACGTATATATAAGGCTAGGGGCCTATACTTGTAGATTCATTGTTGATCCATGGTAAGTTTAACCTACATTACTAGGTAGGCATACGTAGTATAATATAAGAAAGCATTGTTGAAGATGTCAAACTTGAAAGGAGTCTTATAACAACAATTTAACTGGTAGGCTTTACTTTCTACAAAAACGATTTAATGGGGGGGGGGGGGGTATTAACATTTCTTCAAGTAGCCAATACACGGGTTCCATGATAAAATAAGACACTTCTTTGACATATACCAGTCTTTTTCTTGCTTTTAACGATATTACTGCCCTTTATCATTCATTTTATAAGGGCAACAATTTTCACAAATAAAAGTTTCAATAAAATAAAATCTTGAAGCGAGGGATCATGTCAAAACCGGAAGTGCTATTGATAAAGCATCTACCCGTTGATAAAGCATAAGTTTATCCAACGGCCTGTATCATCAACACGTATGAGATAAAAAGATATAATAAAATGGTCAAATTTTAAAGCTAAAATTTATGAAATTTTTCTTTGCCAAATGATAGTTGACAGCTTAAAATATCATATCCCAAAATTTAAGTTATATCTGGTGGTTAATAAAAAATAATTAGTTGACCCCCTAGCCTCCTTAAGTCAGAAAAAAGACAGTCATTGTTATCATGATTATAACCATCTATATAAACCAGAATTTGATTTCTGTATGTTGATAAAGAAAGAGAAATATCATTGACTTGCACTAATTTCTGACTAATGGCTAATGATATTATTACTATTTTTTCCAGAGAAGAACTTCCACCAATGACACAATCAATGCATTTCAGGATCATTTAGCAAGCTTTGGGCCAAACCTTCCAGACAAGGGGATTTATGTAAGATTAAACAGTTTCATTTACTGTGTTTACCATAGAGCAAGTCTGCATTCTCTATTTAACAGAAATAAGGAATAAAATTAATAATGCTTGTAAAAAGCTAGTGTTTAACTTGTGTTTGATAAAGTATTGATATCTGTTGTCAGAGAAATGTTGATATCTGTTGTCACAATATAAACTGATATCTGTCATCAAAGAAATGTTGATATCTGTTGTCACAATATAAACTGATATCTGTTGTAGGGGTATGTTGATATCTGTTGTCACAATATAAACTGATATCTGTTGTAGGGGTATGTTGATATCTGTTGTCACAATATAAACTGATATCTGTTGTAGGGGTATGTTGATATCTTTTGTCAACTTTTTGGATATACACACAATTATGATATCTGTTGTAGGGATGCTGACTTGATATCTGTTGTCACAATATAAAACTGATATCTGTTGTAGGGATATGTTGGTATCTGTTGTCACAATATAAACTGATATCTGTTGTAGGGGTTTATGTTGATTTTATCTGTTGTCACAATATAAAAAAACTGATATCTGTTGTAGGGGTATGTTGATATCTGTTGTCACAATATAAACTGATATCTGTTGTAGGGGTATGTTGATATCTGTTGTCACAATATAAACTGATATCTGTTGTAGGGGTATGTTGATATCTGTTGTCACAATATAAATTGATATCTGTTGTAGGGGTATGTTGATATCTGTTGTCACAATATAAATTGATATCTGTTGTAGGGGTATGCAATTGTTGATGTTTATTGTAGGGTTATGTTAATATCTGTGGTAGGGATATGTTGATATCTGTTGATGTATGTTGTAGAGATACATTGATATCTGTTGTAGGGGTATGCTGATATCTATTGTATTGTATTGTTAAAATCTGTTGTCACAATACAAACTGATATATGTTGTATTGGTATGCTGATATCTGTTGATATATGCTGTAGAGATATTTGATATGTTTTGTATGGGTATGCTGATATCTATTGATATATTCTGTAGAGACATGTTGATATCTGTTGTAGGGGTATGCTGATATCTGTTGATATCTGTTTTAGGGGTATGTCATGGTAGTGGAGCCAGACAATGGAACAACAAAATGCACCCAGTATCAGCCACACATCCCAGCAGCTAATATATCAGAGAAGATGACATGGATAGCCTTAATGCAAAGGAATGGATGCAAGTTTGATGACATGGTAATTATTTAAAAGTGGTTTCAATTAATATCAGAGTTTTTATGGTACTCAGAATTCTTTATAAAATTGTCAAATTAAAAAGCCATTTATCACGTTTATGTCAAATATTGCCAAGAGAGAGATATATATTAAAACTTATGTAAAGTTTGAAGGCTAAGTAAACATTAATGACATTTTTTTATTATGGGGTATTATCTGGTGAATCTAAATCAGTTCTGTTATTGTATTTTAAGGTGTACAGTGCTCAGACTCTTGGCTTTGGTGCTGTCATTGTGTATAACTACGACGGAAATGATGACATCATATCCATGGGAGGGGGCAAAGGTTTCTATTTAAAGCTTCTTTTAAAAAATTTAATTTAATGATAATGGAATTTTTCAGAATTCCTCGTATTTGAATTTTCGTCTATATTCTTAATGATGTTGGAATTCGTCTATATTCTTAATGATATTGGAATTCTTCTATATTCTTAATGATATAAAAACTTGTTAACTAATTCTTAAACATATATTCTTAATGATATTGGAATTCTATATTCTTAATGATATTGGAATTCTTGTATATTCTTAATGATATTGGAATTCTTGTATATTCTTAATGATATTGGAATTCTTCTATATTCTTAATGATACTGGAATTCTTCTATGTTCTTAATGATATCGGAATTCCTCTGAAGCTTTAAGTTTATATAAGATTTTTTTGTATGTAGTCAGACTTGTTAGTCCTGGCTGTCACGATTTTAAAAAAAAAAACCCTTTGTAAGTTTAAGCAGTATGAAGACATATAGCTTAAACTGATATGTATTTCCTCTGTGATAAAGTTTTGTTCACACTTTGTGTTAGAGATGGAGTCACTCATTAGTTAACTCTCACAAAATTAATTTCAGATGCAGGAAGAGTGGCCATTCCATCAGTTTTTGTGGGATTTACTGCGGGGAGTATCATAAAAAACAACTTCCAGTTTGACACCAATAAAACGTTAGTCTTCATATTGAATGAAACAAAATTGCTATCAGTGTCACATTGATGTATGCATAAAATCATTTAAAATGTAAACTGACTACTTGAGATAAAATCTTAATTCTGTAATCAACTCATTTTTTCATCCTTACAGGTTTTATATAAAGATAGAAAAAGACGATTTCTTTGACAAGCCCTATCTGATCTGGCCCTTTGCTGTGGTGGTGGGAACATGCTTCATTCTAATGCTGTTATTTATGGTAAGTTGATATGCAAGTATTTATCAAGTTATTAAAAAATATACTTACGGTGTTAAAACTAAAATTAACTGAAGTTTTATACATGTACATATGATAAGCAAAGAAAATCAGATGAAGAATTTAAATTGTTAATCAGTTATAAATGTTGAGGTGATGACGTTTTATGATTTATTGTGATATGGCTTGTGTCAGAGAAATAAAGATGACCAGGGATGTCTCTGTCTCTTACAGCTGTTTAAATGGATTAGAGATTGTCAAAAGAGGCGAAAATCACGACTGTCAACAAAGCACTTGAAGAAAATTCCAGTTAAAAAGTTTAAGAAAGGTAAAAACAACAAAAATCTTTTAGTTCTGTGACTTGTTGGAAATAGTGATGATGGTATTATAAATCCTTCTCAAAGCCCTGAGGCTCAAAAGCCTGTGCTTATACAATGAAAAACTTTTTAAAATTAGAACATGGATATAGCCAATTTAAATCATATAGTAAGGTAATTACGAGAGACAGTGTGCTCCCAAAAATTTATTTACTTGCATGGTATATTGAAGTATTCCAGATTACCATTATTTACCTTTATTTGTAGGTGATAACTATGAGACCTGTGCTATTTGTCTAGATGACTATCAGAATGGTGACAAACTCAGAGTTCTACCCTGTGCCCATGGTAAGTACAATGTATAAAAATTCATGATCCACTGGATTTTGGATATGTATACGAAGTTTTGGTTTTATTTTCGCCCCCTTCCACACATGAATAAATGTTGTTAATTTCTTAAACAAAACTATGACTGCAAGGAAGGTTTAAAACGGGGCAAAATTTATCTTATGTATTATTTATTTGTAGGAGATAATTATGGATACAGTATATAATTTCTTGCTAATATACTACATCAGTCCTTGTCATAGGATGCAAAGTGTAAAAGTATCCCCATTAAGATAAGTTCTAAAAATTGTTTTAAACTTTATATATGGTAATTCTTCAATTGAAGGGCCTTGGTTATATATTCTGAATTTATGACTTCTTGAGATCTAACTCTCCTGATTTTAGCTTACCACTGTAAATGTATTGTATTTATTTTTACTTCTGATGGAGATCTGTCCCGATTGTAGCTTACCACTGTAAGTGTATTGATCCGTGGCTGACGAAGAGAAAGAAGACATGCCCTGTCTGTAAGAGGAAGGTGATCCCGGGAGCCAATCCCGACTCCGACTCCGAATCCTCCGAGGATGAAGGACCCAGTAATAGCGAACGCACACCGTTACTGGCCGGGAACAACAATACACGACGATCCACGTTTGATAATTCTGGTAACAACATTCTAATGCTTAAATAATTTATAAAGAAATTTTGTTGGAAATGAAAAGTTGCTTTGGAAGAGAAGAATTGAACTTTATGATTCCTGGAAAGTGAATTCCATCGTAAGCAGTCTTTTTGTATGTGTGGTATTGTTTTGTAGGCCTGCCTGAAGTTGTCAGAACGGAGGTCCAGCGAGTACAAATCAGACGACAGTCACAATCCAGTATATCCGACTCATCCGAGGACGAAGTGGATACGATCGAGGCAGACATCACCATGGAAACCTCGTCTGAGGAGGAAGACGACAGGACGCCTGAAGAAGCGAGGGCAGGACCCTCGGGAATTAACAACTCAGCCTTCACAGGAGCCGATTCAGCTTCTCATACATCTGTAGGAGTGGATCCAGCTTCTTCCATCCAGGCGGAGGTGGCGGTGAAACAGACAGGGGAGGATAAAGCCACCAATCATATTGTTTAGACGTGTCATGTGACTTATGTGTGAGAGATGTGAATCTCTGAAACAGGAGATAAATATTTATCACCAGCTATTACTCTAAATATAAAGAGGCTTATAAAATTATCCATGCTCAGGTTACAAGAGTGCTACATGTATAAATTGACTGTTAATAGATGTTTCTCATGGTTGCTGGGCATTACTTTTTAAGTTTTAGTTCTGTGTTACATTACTCTGTGAGATATAACTATACATTTTGTTCTTATATTTACAAGTCAATTAAATTTTTTTTCTATTCAAATATGAAAGAAATGAAAAAGATAGAAATGAGATAAAATACAGGACAGATTTGGGTAAAATATTTGTAGAAAATGATAAATATGTTTTAAAAATTTCAGAAAATGAGAAATATGGTTGATTGCTGTGTTGTACTGTTGTTTCAAAGTTTTGGATGCCTAAATGTTGGTTTTTACTAGTTTTGCTCTACTTTGCTTACTTGTGGTTATCATGTCACATTTCCCCAGTATTGTGGATTTAATTACTGGATTAATGTAGATTGAAATTGAAGAAGATGCTGGGATTTTTTGTCTTATCATGTAGACATGACATCTATTACTTAAAAGTTGGTAAACTTAAAATTCAAAAACATACTCTGGTGGAACAAAGAATGTTTTATGGTTGAATTTTAAAAATGTGAGAATTTTGTTTCCAACACTTTCTTCATATGAACATTATTCAAGTCTTCTAATTTCTTCTTACAATGTATGCTTGCTTGTTACATTACATCTGAAGGATATAGAGATATTCTTCTAAAGTGGAACCAAAACACTGTAAATTACTACACTACAGTATTTTTGTAAAACAACAAAATGGCATTTATTTGAAAGATATAATGTTTTTTTGTTTTATTTTTTACATATTTTTTTAAACAATACGTAAGAAGAGTTATTTCCCTTTTCACACACCGATCAATCTTGCAAAACAAAATGATGATAATGTTTCTTGTGCATAAAATGAATTCATTAGTGCTAAATGAGTTTTGCTTATTAAATTTATATTGATTGTCTAGTCTGGCAAAAAATCCAAGAGCACATTGAAGTAGGTAGCTCAATCATGTGTGCTTAAACAACCAGCACAAATCAAAGGTTGCATCCTTGTATTAAGATAGTTGTATTGTAAATATAGTATGCATGTGCCATTTTATACATGTATATAAGACGTTTTTCTATTTATACTGTGATAGTTTGGGCAGTTTCATTGTATGGAAATGCCTGTGTAAGCAGATAATGAAATCAGTGCATTGTTTAACTGGAAAATTCCACTGCTTATCATAAATTACCAAATGTATCTGAAGTGCTACACAAGAAATATTTAGAATTGTTCGCTCTTTTTGTTTCCTTTGAATTTAAGGGTTTAATATTACAAGTAATCACTTGTTCTCGAAACTTGTTCAATCAGGATAGAGGTTTTGTTTCTACCACTAGAACTTCAGGTGGTTTTTAAAGTTGGAATCGGTTAAATGACAAAACAAACATAAGCATGCTGCATTCCTTTGTCATATGTATAAATTTTATCATTCCCACTTTTGTGATATACTCATAAACAGATTTTATATGATGGACTTCAGCTGAAAATTTTACTTCATTTCTGTAAAGTCAAATCTGTCATTGTTTTTAAGGGAATTCATTGTCAGTGATTTTATGATATCATAAAAACATTCACTTTATTATAATGTGTAAATGATTTAAAGTCAATAAAAAAAAACAAAAACCAGGTCTTCTTTACTTTTGTTGAGTTTGACTGTAACAGGTCAATACATGGTTTGTAATATCTGTAAATTCTGGCTGTGGGAATATATAACCCGTAAGGTATATTTGATTTGTAAGTTATTACATGTGTAAACAATCTAGAAACTACTAATGCAGAAAATGTGTGTAACTCTTGTACACAATTCATGAGAAATGCATCTATCCAAATATATTTTTTGTGTTTTAAAAAAAAAGGGGAAAAAAATAATTTTGTTCAATTTTGACTTAGTTTTTATAGAGTGCAAATTTCCTCTGGATTTTTCCCACATATTTTGTTGATATTATCTTTCTTCACATTAAATCAAAAGATTAAATCTGGGCAGACTTGTGCTCAATATTAAATCTGGGCAGACTTGTGCTCAATATTTTCTAGTTCAAATTACTGACATAAATTATACTAAATGTAATTTTCTTTCAAACTTGTTGAAATCTTAGAATTAATATCATTTTCTGACATTATATTTAAAATGTCACAGTGTTTCTGGATCTTTACTCCTTGCTTTGTGTATATATTCAGATTTCCATTTTTATGTTGAGTTGATATATCCTAGCTGGTGAGCTTGAGATAAAAGATACCACAGCGTCTGACACATCTGTTTCGGATTTCTTCAACAGGCAAGTTGATGAAACAAAAATATCAACAGTCTTGTTTAACAGGTCGAGATCACTAGATGTTCTGACGTCAGCATAAATTTGCATGTAGATAAGCTATCTGTTTACTTTACCTAATGGTGACTGAGCCGCAATGCATTGTGAGCTACTACAAGTACCCAGCTGTGTTGAAAATAAAGGGCAATTTGAATTGTTCCTTGGAAACTTATTTTCGATTCTCTTTTGAGATTTGTGAAAGAAATATTTAAAATGATGTATAATCTTTCATTTCTATGCTCACATTTACAAAATTTGCTTTATGAAGCTTTGTATCAACTTATAATACATTGGCCTAACCCCATTGTTCAAAGAGACATAGGTGCTATCGTGTCAATAAAACATTGTTTTTAGCTCACCTGAGCCGAAGGCTCAAGTGAGCTTTTCTGATCACATTTTGTCCGTCGTCCGTCCGTCTATTTTCACATTTTCGACTTCTTCTCAAGAACCACTGGGCCAATTTTGACCAAACTTGGTACAAAGCATCCTTGGGTGAAGGGGAATTTAAATTGTTAAAATGAAGGGACATATCCCCTCGCAAGGGGAGATAATCAAGAAAAGGCAAAAATAGGGTTGGGTCATTAAAAAATCTTCTTCTCAAGAACCACTGGGCCAGTAAAGCTGAATCTTATGTGGAAGCATCTTGGAGTAGTGTAGATTCTAAATTGTTCAAATCATGACCCCCGGGGGAAGGGCGGGGCCACAATGGGGAATCAAAGTTTTATATAGAAATATATAGGAAAAATCTTTGAAAATCTTCTTCTCAAAAACCACTGGGCCAGAAAAGCTGAAACTTATGTGGAAGCATCCTGGTATAGTGTAGATTCTAAATTGTTCACATCATGACGCCTGGGGGAAGGGCGGGGCCACAACGGGAAATCAAAGTTTTATATAGAAATATATAGGAAAAATCTTTGAAAATCTTCTTCTCAAGAACCACTGGGCCAGAAAAGCTGAAACTTATGTGGAAGCATCCTGATATAGAGTAGATTCTAAATTGTTCACATCATGACCCCCGGGGGAAGGGCGGGGCCACGATGGGGAATCAAAGTTTTATATAGAAATATATAGGAAAAATCTTTGAAAATCTTCTTCTCAAAAACCACTGGGCCAGAAAAGCTGAAACTTATGTGTAAGCATCCTGGTATAGTGTAGATTCTAAATTGTTCACATCATGACCCCCGGGGGAAGGGCGGGGCCACGATGGGGAATCAAAGTTTTATATAGAAATATATAGGAAAAATCTTTGAAAATCTTCTTCTCAAGAACCACTGTGTGTGTAAGCATCCTGGTATAGTGTAGATTCAATTGTGACCCCCGGGGGATGGGGAATCAAAGTTTTATATAGAAATATATAGGAAAAATCTTTGAAAATCTTCTTCTCAAGAACCACTGGGCCAGAAAAGTCTTATGTGGAAGCATCCTGGTATAGTGTAGATTCTAAATTGTTCACATCATGACCCCCGGGGGAAATACAACGGGAAATCAAAGTTTTATATAGAAATATATAGGAGAAATCTTTGATCTTCTTCTAAGAACCACTGGGCCAGAAAAGCTGAAACTTATGTGGAAGCAAAATGTAGATTCTTTGTTCATGATGACCCCCGGGGGAGCCCACGTATCAAATTTTTATATAGAAATATATAGGAAAAATCTTTGAAAATCTTCTTCTCAAGAACCACTTGGCCAAAAAAGCTGAAACATATGTGCCCATGGAAGAATCATGGGGTAGTGTAGATTTCAAAATGTCTAAATTATGATCAGTGGGTAGGGTGGGGATGCATTATGTATAACAAGGGGGAAATCTGGTAAAGAACAGAATGGTCAAAGCTTCTCAGGTGAGCGATGTGGCCCATGGGCCTCTTGTTTTTCATGTCCTATAGGTGTACATAGTTTTAGCAAGTAGTATATAGGTCCTTGGTTTTAGACAACTGGAGAAGATGTGCAATTACTATTTAACCCCTCAATATTATCAGAAAGAGTTTTATGTACATGCAAACATCAAAGCATTTGTATGGTATTCGAAGCAACTATTAATCATCTAAAACAACTAAAACAACTCCAATATTAAATGTGAGCATTGAACAATGCCGTTAGAATATAATCTTTCAATTTCGGTCTTATAAAGTGATCAAGAAGCTCTACAGTTTTTCCGGTGATGAGTTAAATATTGTGAAGTAAACCGACGAAAACCATGTGTCGCCATTGAATCGTAAACACAAAGTAGAGTGTCATGCTTTGGGACTCTTTCAATTGATTGGAGAACGGGTGTGACGAAGACATCGTCACGTGTTGAAAATTGCCTTCCATATAAGGTGGTGGTCCTGACCTGTTTAAAGTCATCATTTCGTAAGTTCTTTGGTCGATACAATGACCTTGTCAGCAAATACAATTTATCATTAAGTCAAATGCTGACCGACATTTTTCATACTAATTGTTAGTCCATTATTTATACACTGAATTGATGACAGATTTTTCCACTATTTCCTGGTAATAACAAGGAGCAGATGGCGGGTGTGACCAATCAGCAGGGGATGCTCACTCCCCCATGGCACCTGATCCCACCTCAAATGTTTTGGAAGTCAGTGTTTGCTCTGCTCCTATTTTGTATTGTTTTATGGACTTTTAACCTTGAATACTGTTCGTATCTCCATATGTTTCATTGTCCATTATCTCAATTTTTTCTCCGTCCTGTTCAGTTTAAAGATGAAATTTTCAATTTTAAACTTCTCCAAAACCATTTGGCCATTTTCAGGTAAACTTGCCACCTTAATACATCCTTGGATTAAAAAAAAAACGCTTTCCAAAAACAATACGGTAAGGATGATCTTCTGTTCATGATGTGGCATAAGACCTGATTCATTTTGGACTTCTTTTTTTTTTTTTTTTTTTATACATTTGAACATTCATATCATTTTGCATTTGGCAAGTGCAATCATATCCTTTTGACAATGTCACTTCAATCATATATCCACAAATCATTTTTATCATGTCATTGTGACAGAAGCCAACTTCTTGTTCTTCAATCATGAAGAAAAATGCAACTCAATTCAAAATTTTGGAAGTCTGCTAGATATTTTCCAAGTCTCTTATGACATCTCAAACTTTTCGTCAGTCCTTAAAATATTCTATTTGTTGTTTTTTCAACAAGTGTAATTATATGATAATCAATTAAATAAAGGTTTTGAAACAAGAGTCTTTCTTCTATATTCATCACTCTGGGCCCAATAGGAAACTTAATAATAACTCCTAAAATGAAAAACAAGCCATTAAAAATATTGACAATGTCTCTGTATTTGACAATTGAAACACCCTAGTACATACGTGATCTACCAAAACAAGACCCTGGTACAGAGTGATCACCCTTGTCAGGGTCTCCGCGAGTTTGTATTAATTAAATACTAATGTCTACAGACCGTAACAGAAGCTTGGCACAGATTAACAAACAGAGGCTACTTAATCCTAAATTATAGTCTCAGTTTTATAAAGCAATATTCATAGCCGACTTCCTTTTGTTTACATATTAAGATAAACTGTATGAAATATAACATTTCTTTCATCAATTGCACAACTTAATATGCTTGAATTCACCATTTAATATAAATGTGATACAGTGGCTTCAGAAGTAGTAAAACTTATTCTGTTGTAATACAAGTAAGAATAAATATTATCTTCCTGTGATATTTTGAATGGTACTCTTGGTACAAGGGATGAGTTAACAGAACTACATAGAGATAATGACATAGCTGCCATCTTATTAAAAACCTAACGATCGCATGAAATGAGTGGACTGGAACCAAACATGTCTGTACATCTTACTGTTACTTCACAATGTTAAAAGTAGGGAAAAGATATAAACAAAATTTCCTGAATCAAAACCATACAGATATAAAATGGTTGTAGTCTAAATTTTACAACAAAAATTCTAATACAGACAGTGTGACATTTTATTGTTACGGGTCAATGATTTTAAGAAAAAAATAGAAACAAAAAAATCTAACGTTAAAAATATTTTTTTAATAGATTTTCATACATTAAATAAAAAATAGCACTTTCTTAGAGAACTTGGAAAGATGACAACATTCAAATCTTGACATCTACACCAACAAACACACACACACACACCTGAGATCATTACATTAACAATGTCTTCTTCAATGAAAACTAATATAAACCTATTAGTATATTTACACACATAAAATAAACTGAACAATTTGTTATTCCCTAACGCAATCATCCCCTCTGTTGGTCTGACTGGGACAATATAGAATCTGGACAGCAGGTGAACGTCACCGCTAGGGGGAGGGGCCTGTGATGATATGGGCGGGGCCTGTGATGATGTGGGCGGGGCCTGTAAGTGCCGCGGCTCCCGAGGCTGACCTTCCCGGGGCAGGACAATATGGCTCATTGACTGCACACCATCAACACGTATCACAGACAAACAATATTTAACTCAAGTCTGACGGGGACTGGGAGCATCATTTCCGCAAGTCCAGAACAAACACCTGAAACAAGAAACAAAATTCTCATTCAATTTACTGTGACATCATAACATTTATGTTGGTTCATTTTTTGTCATTTTCAAGATAAAAAGAGAGCTGTAGATTTATGCTATGTAATTTTTCACATATCTTACTAATCTTCATCTACAAAATCTACTCCCCATGAAACCATAAACCACAAAAATATAGGCGAGTCTGTGACTTTACAAAAATTGTTTTCATAAGATTTTTCGGCAACACTAGAGATTTTCCAAGCACATAAGTGTATCATAATTAGACAATGAAGTAAAAATTCCTTTTTTTTCAGTATCTATGGTAACAACTTACAGATCCATCTGATGCGCTGGCTCCCACTTTGTCTCCACGGTGATTCCAACACACCTCAAATATCCCTCCCGTCCCTTTATAACTGTGTACCAACTGACCGCTCTGTTAACAAAATTACAGACATCACACAGGGCAAATCAATTTTACAACTAGACATACAGAATGTACTTAAATGTAAATTATAGAAAACAAGCTTAATTCTTTGACGTGTCTAAGATCTGATGTTTAGTGAGAAGTACCAGTTTTTATTCCATGTGTAATGTTTAACCCCACAACTAAGTAAAGAAGAGCTGAAAAAGTGTGAACTCTCCTTGCTACTTTACATCTATGAAATTGAACTTCCACTGAGTGTAATACCATTGTGATATGAAACCAATCAAATTCAAACAAGTATAACATAAATTATAACACAATTTTGAAGATTTATATTTGTTAGTGTTACCTGTACATTCCAGATGTGAACACACTTGTCGAAGGATCCGCTGGCGAGGTATTTCCCGTCGGGACTGAAGGCTACGCTGTACACCGGCTCCTGATGCTTCGTTAGTGTGTGTAGACACCTTCCCTGCTCCACCTCCCATAACCTGACTGTCGAGTCAAAAGACGCGCTGGAAAAGAACAAAATACAGCGTTACAATGCAAGTTATTTCTCATATTGGATATGTCCATGAAATACAGGCAAAACTTATCGTAAGAGAATCAATGTTTATGAAAACTCAGAGCCATGGATCATAATCTCCAAAAGAAATCACCAAAAGTGAAATTAAAATAATATTTTTAAAAAACTCTTTTGCCATTCATCTTACCCGAAATGAAATTGAATAAATATGCTGACAAAATAATTGTCTGTGGGGATGTAAATTCATGGATACGGGTGACCCCCAAATCCATGAACACTGATCCGCCAGAAATATCGATTTTTAAAAAATTTTTTTTTACAGTAATTCATTCCAAAATTCCTGCATGTAAGATGACATGAGATACACAAGATGTTCCCTAGACAATATGAGAGGTACATTAAGGGTTACCTTGAGAATATAAGAGGTACATTAAGGGTTTACCTGGACAGTATGAGAGGCACATTAGGGTTGTTTGTGCCTGGACCAGTGGGACTCCATTTAATTGTGTATATTTCTTTACTGTGAGCCTGTAAGTCGTGTACACACGGATCCTGCCTCATACTCCAAATCTAAACATGTAACAACCAGGTTAGGCCACAGATTGGTGTCATTTTATAGCGTAGTTATACATACATACATATTCATAGTAAATTATAAAGAAAACCAACATTGATCTTCAAATCCATTTCAGAGAGAGAGAGAGAGAGAGAGGATAAAGAGCTGAGAGCAAGATAACAGAATCAGTAATTGCTTACTTTTAAAGTCATATCATCTGAACACGAGGCCAGAAGTTGTCCTTGAGGATCCCATTTGATGGCATTGACCTCATTCTGTAAGACAATATAAACAATAAACTGTAGCTAACTTTAGTACTGAGATAATGAATCATTCTGTAAGACAATATAAATGATGTACTGTAGCTAACTTTAGTACTGAGATAATGAATCATTCTGTAAGACAATATAAACGATGTACTGTAGCTAACTTTAGTACTGAGATAATGAATCATTCTGTAAGACAATATAAACAATATACTGTAGATAACTTTAGTACTGAGATAATGAATTATGTGTTTGTAGACACATTATCACTACTGATATCAATAGATGATGTATGTATATATAAAAACAGAAGGCTATGATTTCATGAAAACAAAGAAGAAATTATAAATCAAGGGATTTACCCCAGGTTGTATCCCTATGTGTATACTATATTTCCCTCAATTTTTTTTCATACAGAAGAAAAGTAGACCCTGAACATTATAACTACTACTAAAAATACGTAATAATTATACAAGATAAATATCTACGTACGGTATGTCCTTGGAATGTTTTCATTGGGCGCTCCATGCCGAGTCGACACACGTGGATACACTGATCCGTGGAACACGAGGCAAACGTAGCGTTACTCTGCCAGTCCACGTCCAACGCCGGAGCTACAAAACAAACATCGCTATTTTATATATCCATGACATACATACAAAACAACATCGTTAATTCATATCCATGACCTACATCTAAATTTTACTTTACTTACAAGTATGACTGTATGATACTTATATCTGATATACTTCCTGGTGATAAGGAGTGCTCACCTGAGTGAAATGCGAATTGTTGTGTACAGTTTCCAGAGCTGGCATCCCATATTATCGTAGTCTGAAAAAAAAAAAAATCAATATGATGAGCCAATCAGAGCCATGTACATGTACATGTGATTCAAATCAATAGTATGTGATCTTTCCGAGGCAAAAGCAATGTGTATTAAGATGTTCATTCATTTTCTAATCTCATTTGAATACTAGTTAATACTTCTTTTACATTTTAATTGATTGGTAAACACTAATATCAAAACAGCAACACATTAAAGAAGTCTTGATATAAAATACTGTGTATGAGCAGTTTATCTTTTAATTCTACAGATGGTTTAGTACCTTGTCCACCCCTGTGTGTGAACTGTTTTTTTTTTTATTTAATTTTACAGATGGTACACTACCTTGTCCACCCCTGCACTCAGAATATAATTCCCTCTCTTGTTCCATTTGAGGGCAAATATTGGTCCTTTGTGTTGCCCCAGTGTGTTCACTAACCTGCCTGTAACACAGAAATTACAAATTATACACAAATATTGATCCTTTGTGTTGCCCCAGTGTGTTCACTAACCTGCCTGTAACACAGAAATTACAAATTATACAAATATTGGTCCTTTGTGTTGCCCCAGTGTGTTCACTAACCTGCCTGTAACACAGAAATTACAAATTATACACATCATTTTATTTACCAAAGTATATACCAGCATTGAAAAAAATATCACAGAAGTCCTTTTGCATATTTCTGAAAATATCTGTGGCATTTATTTTTGTTTTTTAAAGTTCAATAAACTATTCCTTGTGGATTCTTCTATTTTTAGTGATAACAGCATTGTGTTTATGTTGTGTGTGTGTCTGTTGAATTTAATAAAATTAGTTCAAAACAGAGTCAGGAAAAACACTTTGAAAGGTTTTCCTAAATTATTCTACTTTTAGAAATCTCAATGGCATCATTATTCACTAAAAGAATTTTTTTTCCATCTTTCAACAATATATTTAAGGCAAAAAAAAAAAATTAATTTCTTGGTTCTCAGGCCCTCCCTCATCTCTTCCAAGGGTGCCTCATTGACCCTTTTTATTGCTAAATCAATAAAATATAAACACCAAATCACCTCCCTCATCATTTTTTGAGGTTTTGTACAATGTAAAAAGCTGCCTCATCATGTTTTGGGGGCAATAAAAAAGAAAAAAAAAATGCCTCCCTCTCTCATCAAATTTCTTGAAAAAAGGCCTGAGAACCAAGGAATTAACTTTGCATGGCCTAATATGTTCATACTATCATAGAAGGCACAAGATAACCATACAAGGAATATAAAAGAAACCCACATTATTCTGAGTAACCTTGGTAACACTGTTTCTCCTTATTAAGTAACTCAAAGAAACCCACGTCTTTATTATGTCTCTTTTTGTGTGTAGTTTTATCAGATTTGGACTTAAAGTAGAAGTAGTATAAGATTTTACAAAATTATTTCCAGAAAAACATACAAAAGACAGATTACGGACTATCTTAAAGCTTTAAGTAAAATTAATTAAACCAGAAGTCTCTGTCGAGACTGAAGCTCTACTGGTTTGTACTTATAGCAAAGGAAGAGTAAAGTACTTAAGCAGTTGGAATAATGATCCTTGATTAAGTCTCTCTATGTTCTTAGTGAAGTCTACTAGCATGCCACATTATATATTATTATCAGACTAAAACTACTGTAATTGGAGTAGCATTTTGAGAGTATTAACAGAAATTTCTATTTTTAGTAACCAAGGCAATAATGTTCATCAGTCAGAAACCGATACACAGAATTGTGTATCTTAGTTTAGTCTACTTGATGGCCAAGTTATATTGAAATCAGGCCAAAAATGTAGGTGACATAACATTTTGAAAGAATTTCACAGAAATTTCTATTTTTAGTAACAACATCAAAACCGTTCATCGAAATCAAAAACCGATATACATAATTATGTATCTTAGTGTAGTCTACTTGTGTGCAAAGTTATATTGAAATTAGACCAAAACTGTAGGAGGAGTAGCATTTTGAAAGAATTTCACAGAAATTTCTATTTTTAGTAACAAAGGCAAAACCGTTCATCGAAATCAAAAACCGATACACAGAATTATGTATCTAAGTGTAGTCTACTTGTGTGCCAAGTAATATTAAAATCAAACCAAAACTGTAGGAGGAGTAGCATTTTGAAAGAATTTCACAGAAATTTCTATTTTTAGTAACATCGGCAAAACCGTTCAGTGAAATCAAAAACCGATACACAGAATTATGTATCTTAGTGTAGTCTACTTGTGTGATAAGTAATATTAAAATCAAACCAAAACTGTAGGAGTAGCATTTTGAAAGAATTTCACAGAAATTTCTATTTTTAGTAACAACTGCAAAACCGTTCATCGAAATTAAAAACCGATAAACAAAATTATGTATCTTAGTGCAGTCTACTTGTGTGCCAAGTTATATTAAAATCAAACCAAAACTGTAGGAGGAGTAGCATTTTGAAAGAATTTCACAGAAATTTCTATTTTTAGTAACAACGGCAAAACTGTTCATCGAAATCAAAAACTGATACACAGAATTATGTATCTTAGTGTAGTCTACTTGTGTGCCAAGTTATATTAAAATCAAACCAAAACTGTAGGAGGAGTAGCATTTTGAAAAATTGTTTACAGACAGACAGACAGACAGACGGACAGACGGACGGATGCCGGACGCATTACTATCGCATAAGCTCTTCTGGTCTTTGACCAGTAGAGCTAAAAAAACCCTGAACAATGCAATTTTTTTTAAAGCATGACCATGGATCAAATCAATGAATTTAGGCTATCTAAATTTAATTTTCTGGTTCTCAGGCCAATTTTCTCCAAAACAGATGCGGGAGGGAGGCATTTTATTTATCATTTTATTGGCCAGGCAATAAAGTAGATGAGGGAGGTATTTTTTTAATTTTAATTTTCGAATTTTCTTTAAAATAAAGATAATTGTTTTTAATCACAGATATACTTTCCATGTCTGATCAAAAGGTTTGCTTCACCATTGCTTATCAGCATGTAAACATCGTAGGCAATGTCTTCCACAGTTCTTGAAATCTTTTTTTTCGCTGTCAGTCATTTGGACTGACTGCCATGCGAAGTTTGTCAGTCCAGATAAATTTCTATCAGTCCAAAAAATTCAATAAAAAGATGAAAACTTTATTTGAATTTTATTATCAATACAGTGTGTACCCAGTGTCAATAAACACTGCACACTTCATGTCGATTTGATCGTTGTATAACAACTTTCATTACATTCTTGTGGGGTCCATTTTCTTCACAAGTTTTTAATCTAGTTCGATTTTCTCACCTGGCTTACCTCAGCTCCGTCAACAAACTAGTTGACCAATCATAGTTTTGAACTTGTGTTCGTTGAAGAAGCCATTACAAGAAAACAGAAAAGCGTCTGAAACATTACAATCGCTCAATTATGGGGAATTTGTACAAAATTTGGTCGGATTGACGACGTTCCTCTGTCAACACTTACCGGTCATTTGGACTGACATAGAATGCAAAATTATCGGTCCTTGGTCGTTTTTATCGGTTTTGCCGACAGGACCAAAATATTTCAAGAACTCTGGTCTTCGAATGTATTTTCAAACGAAATAGCCAAAATCTCATTGCAAACGGCTACCCGAAGTGATACATGTATTTGAGTACATGTACTAAACTACAAAAACAGTGAGGATGGAACTTTCTTTTCCAGATTGGTCTCCGCAATACCGACTTTTTATTTTATCAAAAATACAATAAAATTAGCGATGCGGCTACCTCAAAACGGATGCGCACGGGCCTGAGAACCAGATTTTCAATTTTATGTAGCCTTACATGTACCGGTACTTTAAATATCTTTGTGTAATTAACATCTACATAAGGAATTTAAAGGAAATACCAGAAGAACGCCCTTTATTATCACTTTTTATATATGTGATGTTAACGTGATAGCTGCTCTCTACGTGTTAATTGTAGAATTAATGTGATAACTAATTAATTATGTAAGACACAGATGTGATAATTATGTAAAATGCCAAGGTATTTACAAGCTATTACATACCCTCTGTACTCCAGATCCTGGCATAGCCATCATACGACCCTGTAGCCAATAACGTGCCTTCACACTGTAAAACATTTAATGAAATATCAATCTGTTTCCAAAGAAACACATGTTTAATACTTTAATAGAGACCCACACTGAGACTTAGAATTACAGTACTATATAATTCACACATTCTTAAGCTTAACATCAAATAAAATCAATGAAAGACATAACATGATTGACAAGTTGTTGGTAACCCTGGATTTTTCTTCCCTGACAAAGATTAATAATTCACACACTCTTTAACTTAGTATCAAAATTAATTTTTACATAGAGTGTACATGCAAAGCTGTTGGTATTTCTTAATAAGACATGTTTTTGAAAGTATTGAAGTTGTATCTTATTTTGCAAGCAAACTACTCCATAGGAGGAACTAATACCTCTTACCCAACAATGCTTACATGTACCTTGGTCAAATTTCTCTTTCTGACATTTGAATAACGAATGAAAGCCCTTACATATAAAAGTTACTTTAACATAAAGCTGAACTCTGCCTCAGCTGAGCTTGTTATGTATCATATGACACTGACATAAGGAAAGTGTTCAGAGAAGTTTTATTTTTATCAAGAAAACAATAACAAAATGAGTCAACCATATGAAATTAAAAGATATCAGATTAGTAATTGATCATTACAAGTAGAAATACCTCTAAAATATCAACTAATATGAAAAAAAATTACTGGTTTGATTCATTAAGGGTTTTTATTAGGGGGGGCATGATTGCATCAAGAAAATCAATTTTTATCTTATTACTTCTAATCTCCTTATATTTACCCACCCTACATCACAGCATCAATAAGGAGCACCTGATAATATGTAAGTCTGACCTCTGTATGCCACTAAACACACCCTTAATCTACGTGGGTACTAATCCTCGACCACACCATTGTGTGGACTTTGTGTACTCTTACTACAGACCTTCTATTTATACTGTTAATGTACTTTTTTCCAAAGGTTTATATTTCTGTAAAATCACTATTTCTTTTTAATCTGCAGGAATAAAATGAAACAATATCCTTTGTGTCAAATTTCTTATGCAAGTTTGGTGCTGCGTAAATAGCATAAAATAATGCAGAAAAGGTAATCTAGAGTACCGGTACATGTACTTACATATCATTCCAGAGATATGAAGTCTATCTTGCTGGGAACCTCAGTGCCCCCTTTCTGTATACAGTGTGAGAACTAACTGGTGTATCCCCCCCGCCCCCCTCCTTTCTGTATGAAGTGTCTGAGAACTCCCCCCGCCCCCCTCCTTTCTGTATACAGTGTCTGAGAACTAAGTGGTGTATCCCCCCGCCCCCTCCTTTCTGTATGAAGTGTCTGAGAACTAACTGGTGTATCCCCCCGCCCCCCTCCTTTCTGTATGAAGTGTCTGAGAACTAACTGGTGTATCCCCCCGCCCCCTCCTTTCTGTATACAGTGTCTGAGAACTAACTGGTGTATCCCCCCGCCCCCTCCTTTCTGTATGAAGTGTCTGAGAACTAACTGGTGTATCCCCCCGCCCCCCTCCTTTCTGTATAAGTGTCTGAGAACTGGTGTATCCCCCCGCCCCCCTCCTTTCTGTATACAGTGTCTGAGAACTAACTGGTGTATCCCCCCGCCCCCCTCCTTTCTGTATACAGTGTCTGAGAACTAACTGGTGTATCCCCCCGCCCCCCTCCTTTCTGTATGAAGTGTCTGAGAACTAACTGGTGTATCCCCCCGCCCCCTCCTTTCTGTATGACGTGTCTGAGGACTATATGATGTATCCCCCATCCTCCTTTCTTGTCTGAGGACTAAATGTTGTATCCCCCCCCCCCCCTCCTTTCTGTATGCAGTGTCTGAGAACCCCCCCCCCCCCCCTCCTTTCTTGTCTGAGGACTAACTGATGTATACTTACATTCCAGTCTAGGGATGTGACGTCCTTGTTGCTGGGAACCTCAGTGCCTCCTTTCTGGATGCAGTGTCTGAGAACTAATTGATTGGCACTGTAACAACTGTTGTCATTCATGTTCCAAATTCTGGCAGTAGAATCTCCAGACCTGTTACAAATCAAAGAAAAATTACACAGGTTTTCCTAAAATGTTACATTACCATACATACCAAGACCTGCATTTCATGTTTTTCTTGACTTGCTAAACATTCTTTTCTCATAAAGTAATGGATATTACAGAAAGTAATTCAAAAAAATGATTCCTGATTCTTTGTCAAGTTTGGCTGAAATTGGCACAAAAGTTCAGGAGAAAAGATGAAATGAGAAAATGTGAAAAAAGAGAAAAGTTTATGACAATAAGAGAGACAATGGACAAGAAAAAAGTTAGTACTGACAGTAACACTGAGAAACAATGGACAAATTTGATCAGAAAAGCTCCATTGAACCTTTGTCCCATGTGAGCTAAAATAATATTTTTTATCATCATTTTGTCATCATGTCACTGTCATATATAAAAGACCTTGATAATTTATATTTCCCTGTGAGATCATTGCGTTCAGAGAATTCCAGGTGTTTAGTTCAACCTTGTGCTCGAACCAAGTCATATGGAAATCGTCGTTTTGATGTTAGCGCAGCTGCACTCTTATGAGACATGAACAAAATCTTAACAGTTTTAAAATGTGTTTAAAGACTCATCTCTTTAAAATGGCTTTTCATCATTGACATATAAATATTATTGAAATGTTTAAGCACACTTTATGGACTTTATTTTGTAATACTATTTTATGATTTGTGGCTATTTATCCCCATTTAATAATGTACATCGTTGTACCTACTTTCATGATTTTAGGAGCTAATTTTTAGATAATTTTTATAATAGTTATCATTATTTTTTATAACTATATGTTTAATTTTAGATTGTTAATTATGTTCTAATTATTGTATATTTTTATCTTTAATTTTAATGTAAAGCACTTTAGAGTAATTTTAATTATATTTAGCACTATACAAATTTTATAAAATTTTATAATAATAATCATTTTGAGGGAAAAAATCAAGCTGGCAATTTAAATACAGTCTTTGTTTACATTTCTCTGTTCATCAGGCTCCGGGGCCAGAAAACTTAGACAAGCTCAATTTTGATCTCGGTCTCACTTTAACAAAAGTAATATCTATAGCGGAAAAGCAAGACAGAAATAAAAGAAAAGAGCTGGTCTGAGTTTTATTGCCCCGGGGCCTGGCTGTGATGAATGCATACCCTGAGGCCAGTAAATCGTTGGTGGGATTCCATGCACAGATGAAAACCTCTGACTCGTGCCCTCGCAGAACGGTAGCTTTGTTTGTAGGAATTTCCTGACCACCATCCACTTCCATTGAATCTGTGTGATTGGCTACAAAAAAAAAGTGTTTTGTGATTGGCTAAAAATAATATCTTTTTGATTAACAAGTTTTTTAAAATCATCTTTTCATTATTAAAAAAAAGGTGTTTGTGATTGACTAAAAATAATATCTATTTAAATAAACAATTTTTTTTAAAATTCTCTTTTCATTATCAGAATTTTTTCACATGAGAAGTCAACATTACAAAAGAAATAGTCAGAAACGGTTATGCCCCTTTTGATCTTTGAACAAAAGATTATGCTTGTACCTTTATGAAAAAGACTATAAGAGTACAAAGGTATAGGATGGACAAGATTTGAAACAGACTATAATATCCCAACCAATCTTTCGCAAGTTTCAATAACCCTAGTATTTCTGAAACAGACTATATTTATTGGCTGGAAGAATCTGCCCCATGTGTAGGTGTCACAACCAGTTCAACAACCTGTCATCCCCATATCTGATTTTCACATAGACTCTTCCAAGCAGAAACAACTCAACCTAACCTCCCCCCTACCAAACAGAACATGGAATAGGCTTCACATCTGAAGAAAAAGGTTGGAAAATTGCCAACTTTAATCTATTATTCTGAAATACCACAGTGCAATTGAACTCTCTCATGTTTATGGTATATATTTAGGCATGATTAAAATAGATCAAGTGTTACTAGCGGGAAGTTGTTTTTCCAGATCACACAGGAATGTAGGGTAATTCCTTGCCACACGTTTTTTGCCTTCTGGATAACAGCCAAACCAGAGATCGACAGATAATTTTAAAACCAAATGGATCTGAATTTATGAATTTTTTAAAGAACGGGGTCAAAGGTTCAATTCTGAGAAGATGATGGCAATTGAGAGTATATCAGTTTTTTTCTTGCAAGATTTAAAACACGAAGTTGAGATTACAAGTATATCTGGCAGATCACATCAACCTTATCAATTGCATTATCTGTAATTTGATAAATAGATAATTTGTTATTCCCTTGAACACACCTTCTACACTCCAAGTGAGACATCCTGGTGTGACTGATGAAATATAGAAAACACACAAATATTAACCCTGCTCATGCCAATCTGATTTCTTGCTGTTTTTATCTTTGACGACATGTATAATACAAGCCTGTGTTAGGTCAAGCAATATTGATTTTCCTTTCTTTGTGTGAAGGACGAGTCTGAACGCTGACGTCAATGCTGATCTTTAATAACATAAATTCTAGAACCTCTTAGAAGCCTCTCTCTCCTGAAAATAGGAAGTGATCAGCCAAGAGGAGGCTCCTCTAAAATACAACATTACAGATTGCCTAGCCTGCTGGAGGGGGTTAACCCGGGGTCAACAGATGCTCCTACAGTGCATTGCTCTTGTTTTAACAGTTTATTTGTTCTAAACTTTGTATTTATCTTTTTTCTTTCTTGGTTTATCCTTTGAATCAACATCTCCAAATTTTTCTGCCTAGGTCAACATTTTCATTAAATTTGAGATCCCCGACATTGGACTGCTCCAGTATTATCTTTAGCTGTGTCCCCTCAGAGAATGAGTCAGACCCAGGCAGTTAGATGTTATCAGAGCAGGGCTGGATGGATTTATTATGACTTGTTAGATGCCAGGCTGGCAAATCAATACACCACAAATAAGTCACCTTCACCTTGCCTCGATTGATTAAAAAGAAAGAGCCCACAAGGCACAAACTGCAATAAAGAGCTTGGTTTTCCTGCGTGTCATTCAGTGTGAAGATTATATGTTTGCATAACAAAGTCATGTGGCCATTATGTGGGCTGATTTATGGGCCTGCATAGACATATTCACAAGAGCAGAGCAGTACAGATCATTTGACAATTAGGTCACTATAATGCATCCTTTAAGTAATACTTTTTTTCATATTTGTCCCCCTTTTCAAATCTAGACTAGTCTGATGTGCTTTATGCTGTTAATTAGTTTTCCTTGCCTGGTAGGGGTACATTTGTCCTCTTGACAGGTATAGGTTCTTATAGATGAATTATTCCATTTATGTAAGGCTGGGTACTAACCAGAAACTTGGTATTGCAATATATTGCTGTATTTTTAATTGTATTGTTTTCCTTTAAAATCATTTTTATACCCCCACAAACCAAGTTTTAAGGGTATATAGTTTTTGCCCTGTTTGTCCATCTGTCTGTTTGTCTGCAAAAATTTTAACCTTGCCCATAGCTTTTGAGTGGGTGGGGCTATGGCTTCATATTTTACAGGTATATTCCTTGCGACAAGACCTTTTCTTGGGTACCACCAAATCTGACATCTTGACCTTGACCTAATTTCGCTTGTGCGATAGAGTGTGTATTATTAACCTATTTCTTTTTTGTGCATTAGAGTGCACATTAATTACCTATTTCAGTGTGCATAAATTACCTATTTTTGTTTATGCAATAGCATGCACATCAATAACTGTTTGTTATGTGCATTATGTACCTATTTCTGTGTGAGTTGCTCTTTATTTACCTATTTCTGCAGGTGCCGCCTCTTCCCCGTTGGTGCTGGCGGGTTCTGTCTTGATCTTTGGAGCCGGTTGGGCCGCCTGTTTTTTGGACTCTACCACATCAGGCATCACAGCATCAATCAGGGTCAGGGCTTCAATGTTCTTGGCCTGGGCACCGTCCTACAACAATTACAAACATTGTCAAACTTTCCTATCACCAGGCGCACTGTGTTAAGTGCTTCTCTTTCTTAATTAAAACTCTAAGTTGTCAAAATTAAGTTGTAATTGAAATCATTTTGTCAATTTCTAGAGTGCTGTTGTTTATCCCATTTACTTTAATAACCATGCCATATCCCTTAAAATATTTTTTAATCTGGCCCCACTTCCTTTTATTTTGCAGGGATGCATCTTAAAATCTTTAATTAGACATTTTCTTAATTCATCTAATTTAAAAGTACATGCATCACTGAGGAACAAACAATTATGTTATTGCTCAAACTGAGTTAAAATTCAGTCAATATTGCATTGCAGGTCTAGTAAAACGCATGGCGTACATAGATAAAATTTCGAAAGAGGAACAATTTTACACATTGTTGAATATGTTTTATTACCCCTTCACAATTTGCATGCAATATAAACTTATTAATGGAAAATTTGCCTCCTTTTTCCATTTTCTCCATTTTTCATATATCGTAAACACTTACTGTGGCCAATAAAGATAACAAGACTACTTACTTGATAAAAGATGACAGATTTAAACAAGTTTACTAACACGGCTAATGGTAAAATGTGGGACATTTTGGGACATCAATCATTATGATTGTTTCAAAAGAAAGTTGATTCTTGTGCAAAACTTGAATACTTCAATATGTGCGTAAAATAATCTTGAAAAAGAGTTGCTCAAAGACATCCTAGACCCATAAATTTTCCTTCAAAGGTCAAATAATTAATCTGATTTCAGTTCTGTCGTGAAATGCCATCATACAGCTCAGTGAGTAGTACAGAGGCCTGACACAGTGATCACGTTTGATTTTATAAAGCAGGCTATGTCTGATTTTATAAGGCTATGTTTGGGTGGAGAGAGGTGAAGGGCTGCCACTGAATTCTTATCGGTGACTAACACGCCAGGTTATCTAACCAGGACTTTTTCATGTGTATTCCAGGGCAGGTCTTATCTCCATGAACTCTCGGTGCTACCAGATCAAATTTTTCACATCTAATCACTGAAACAGACCGTTAACCGAACCCGATTCCCCCTTTTTTCCGAGTATAAATAATCTCTTTGGGCATGGCAATTCTAGAACATAAAATGCCAGAAGCTTTACTTTGACAGATATCATTTTCTATGAACATTCATACTGACCATGTGACCTTAAAAGAATTTTTAAGCTATATAACTCAGAGTTAATAAAAATCTTCAGTGCTTTTACCTATTATACATAATGACTTAAGGTTGTAAATAAGAATGCAGGGTCAAATACTGTGTTACAGACAGTCTGAGTAAAAAATTAAGCAATTTTAAAAAGTTCCCTGAATAAACTATTACAAATAAAATCCAATTAATTTTTATCGATATTCAATTTAAGCGATTTCAGTGACCTCGCTAATAATTCCACAATTAAATCCTCGCTAAAAATTCAGCTTGTACAGTACCTTTAGATAAATTAAATTTTTCATGTCTTTGGCTAACCCATTTGTAGACTAATTCATGACTTGTAACATAAATACAATATCAGTGTTTGAAATATATAATGCAAATTCAGGATAGCCACAGTCAATCTTTTCATTTTGCTCTGAATTTTTAAGGTGTTTGTATATTATTATCATGTGTATTTGATACCTCGCCGATGCTGATTTCTGCCTCTGTGTATTGCAGTCCTTTCATTATGATATTGAGAAGAGCAGCGGGAGGAACTAGGGCCCCATTGATATTAGACTGGCTGATGTGACTCTCTATTCCAAACGTGTATGCTGAGTGTACAAAACCTACAAATGAAAAAAATATACAATGATGAATCAAAACCTAAAAATAAAAAGCTGACCAAACATGTAAGCCAGTGTGCAAAACCTACAATTAACAAAAATTAACAGCTGAACAAATGTGTATGCCGAGTGTACAAAACCTACAAATCAAAACTTATACAAATAAAACTTTACACATAATGAGTGTACAAAACGTACAAATAAAAAATAATTTACAAAAATGACCAAAAAAAGTTACTAAATAAATAGGTTTTTATCGTCTATCTATTAAAGACGTGAAACTTTGTTTGAGTGTTCCCATGCATGAATGCAAACTTTTTCATGGAACTTTGATATTGTTTAAATCTTTTAACATTTCTGGGGCATATTTTTTTTTTTAAATCTTTCTACAAACATGATAAATCCTCAAAATATGTAAACACTTTTTGTCACTTTCATTTTACAATAATTTATTCCTAGAACACTAAGAAGAGAAATTATTAATGGATATTTTTTTATATAACATGCTCCCTAATTTCAATGTTACTTGATCTGACAACAGACGGCCACTTTAAACCTGAGCTGCTGCGATATCAGCGCCTTGTATGTTCCGTATGACGAGCGTTTCCTGCAGTGCATTAGCCGAGGTCAATGAACTTGTAATTCACTGATCATGCACATTTATCTTTATGAAAGTTTACAGACAGAGGAATGTGTTCTGTCTTCCCCTGTGTCCCAGTGATTTACTCATTGTATTCTGTTCTTCATTAACTATCAGCTTTCATTGGTACGTTACCAATATCAATGTAGAATACAGATCCGGCATTATTTATCTGGAGCTCTAAAAGTTCCTGTCACACCAAGCAATGAAAAATATGTAAGATATTCAGAATGAGATATTAAATCAATATAATTAATTTAAAATTTCATATCTTGGGGATGAATTCTGTATCAATTCTATGGATTTATTAATTTGTGTAAACCTAGAGTTTATTTATTTCAGTAACTAGGAGTGAATGCTATATTTAGAAGACTGTACAACCATTGATTTTTTTTTATTGGTGAGCATGAACATAGTGAAGCTAACTTGGTAGAGGCCCGCGGTCCTTTACAGTCACCTGAGAATCCGACAGTAAACCGCCTGTATGTTTGTTTAATATGTCCCATTTACACTGTGCTGCCCCCACGTGTAGATGGAGGACTGTAAATTTAGACATACTTGACACTCAGGGCATTTGAGCAGTGAGGGACATTTCTCATGCCAGCACTTACTGCAGCTCATCTGAAGGGTCTCCACATATCACAGAGGGATTCAAACCTGTAATGTACGGATCAGCTCCCTAACCACTGCACCACACAAGCAACCTATGACCTGTACATCATCAATTCTTTAATTTGCTCTACTAAAATTGTATGGCCCAAATAAATTTTATTATCTTTGATTTTGTCAACAATGTTTCCCTAGACCTGCTCCCATGTCATAATCTTTGAATTGAGAATGATTTGTTTTGTCTCTCCAATGACCCTCATCTTCAGGGCTAGTTATATTTATCTTGGATAATTCCCAGGCCCTCACCTTCAGGGCTAGTTATATTTATCTTGGATAATTCCCAGACCCTCACCTTCAGGGCTAGTTATATTTATCTTGGATAATTCCCAGGCCCTCACCTTCAGGGCTAGTTATATTTATCTTGAATAATTCCCAGGCCCTCACCTTCAGGGCTAGTTATATTTATCTTGAATAATTCTCAGACCCTCACCTTCAGGGCTAGTTATATTTATCTTGAATAATTCCCAGGCCCTCACCTTCAGGGCTAGTTATATTTATCTTGAATAATTCTCAGACCCTCACCTTCAGGGCTAGTTATATTTATCTTGGATAATTCTCAGGCCCTCACCTTCAGGGCTAGTTATATTTATCTTGGATAATTCCTGAGATAAGACTTGGATTCTGCCATCCTCTCTTTTGTAAATAATGTGAGCCTCCAATGTTTCTACATGTCCTAATAATCAACAAATAAATGTTCCAAAAGACAGACATCTATATTGATTTACAACAACAACAACAAAAAAACATGTTAAATGATGTAATGCATGTTTCATATTAGATCCACTTTTCTGAGACTTAACCTTAGATCTAGAGGTCTTGGTTTCGATTACAGAAGACTAAGCTAAGTTGTACCATGCACACAGACTGACACAGCTGTATGTAAACACAAATTCTGTCTTCATTTCTTTAACAGCATCATCATCATACAAACAACTCAACTTGCATTGTATAATCGTACAGTTAAGATTACATACAGTATATCAAACAAGAGATGTTTGTAAAACACTTATGCCCCCTTCCCCCAAATAATTGGAATTTTTCTGAGTCAAATGGGCATAACTCTGTCCAAAATGGCCTGATCGTACCCAAAACAAAACTTGACCTAGATATTCTTCTGCTAAATCTGTACATCAAATTTCATTTCAATAAGTGCAACCACTGCAAAGAAAATGGACAGAAACTGCAAATTATTAGAATTTTTCCAAGTCCAAGGGGCATAACTGTCCAAAATGGTCTGATTGTACCAATAAAATAATTGACATTTGACCTAGATATTCTTCTGATAAATCTGTATACCAAATTTCATTTCAATATGAGCAACCTCTGTGAAGAAAATGAATGGAAACTGATGTTGGACTGACCGACTGACGGACAGCAGCAAAGCAATATGTCCTCCCTTCTTTGAAGGAGGGCATAAAAAAAAGAGGAATGTGCTCAGAGATAAAAAAAAAATATATACAGTGGACCTTCCATATCTAAATAATCATTTTTCATCGGAACCGAATTTCAAAATGTTATTATGTCTTGTTTAACTGGTGATTCAGGTATCCGGATGCTTCAAATATCCGGACAAATTGACTGGGAACCAAAGCGTCCTGATAAATGAGGCTCCACTGTATACCTCCAACTAAATAATCATGTCCTAGATTACAACTTACATTAGTGAAGGACTTATTGCTCATTATAACTACACAAATGATTTGCCTCTTTGGGGTTACGAAATTTCTAAATATTTAACATTTTGAATATATAATTACAGGTTCTAACCTATATAACCTAACGGTAACCTGACTGTGAGTCACACCCAGTCACAGTCGGGTTAGGTTATATAGGTTAGAACCTGGGTCCCAGTTTTGGCTGGCTATAATGCAGTTTGCCGTTTAGATGACCAAGTAGATAATTCACACTCTTAGGACTGGTCCACTGGGGGGGGGATGTCTAAATTATCTAAAGTTATCTTAAGTTCCTTTCTCCAAAACACTTCATGATAAATATATTCCTAATATTGATAAATTAATACATGTAGTCTATAACTACATAGAAACACAGAAAAACAACAATTAAGTTATTAACAGCTGACAAATGAGAGACTTGGGTGACTTGAATAAAATGTAAATGTTCTGTAAAATAAAAGTAATTTTTTTTTTTCATTTATAAATTTAAAATGTGCTAATTTAATTCAGGATCTAACTAGACTATGCTTAATGAATCATCACTGTTAAATCAAAACAATTCCAGACTTTAGAAAAAACAAACACCTGTATAGCCTTAGCTGCTAGCTTCAAGCCTGCACCCCGAAAGTGTTAGTCTCTAAAGAGACTGTAGCTCTACTGGTTTTGTATAAACTATTCAAGAAAATTGGCAGCTAGACTATGAAACGCTCTTTTCAGTTTTCCTTCCATTTGTCACGCTTATTTTTTCCTAATCAAAACTGAAAATTAAAACTGTAGGTGGAGAGGCACTTCATAAACTTTTTTTACATGGCTCTGGTAATCAGACGGCCAAATTGTTTCAGTGAAATGTGACCAAATCTGTAGACCATGTTACAATTATGTTTTGAAAGAATTCATTTTTTTTTTGTTTGGAGCATCCGACATCGATTTGTTCATTAAACTTTTAATGTCCCATGGTTCAGTATTACACTATATTTGTGTTAAAAGTTCCTGGTTGAGTTTTTAGCACTTTCCCCAATTCTAATTTTTTGGTATTGATATCTAAAGGAATCTATATAATTGCTAAATAATGACACACCCATTTATTTACAAAAGAGAAAGAAATATTCATTGTAGTCAATAGTGCTTAAGAACACCACACCTCTGTGACTAGCAATATCAGTTACACTGAAACAGAGATTTTATAAGTCAGAGACCCTGCTTCTGTAAAACATGTATTTACAACAAATATGTGTACACATAATTTTGAATTTACCATCACCACAGCATATGCATCTGGCAAACAGCCAAACACACTTTTACTCGATTGTTAATTTGATTGGTTATTATATTTAAGTAATAACTGTTCTCCAAGTATTCGTATGAACCATTTGATCCTTGATTTTCCTTTCTACAGGAATAGGTGTGTCATCATTTTACAAATTACAATCAATGTTCTAAAGAAAGCTCAAACATTCCATTCAAACAAAGAATTTTACAATTTCAATGCACTTCTTGTTCTCTGTAACATTTAATACGAGTTGTTAGCCCATTCTTTTGATACTGATCTCAGGTGAAGTATATGACCTATTTCAGATAAGTCTTAATATGAATACAAACCCGATTCCTGTAGGTATCTGTACACCAAAAAGTTGACCTCATCACTTGTGAAACTCATGATGCTGGGTTTCAAAAGCCAAAAATTTTCATTGCACAAGGCTGTTTTCACAGCCTGTCTGAAAAAGAGAGGAAAAAAAAATAAAAATGCATGATCAAATATGTTTAATATAAATGCTCTTTGATTGTTAATATAATGATATTGATTTCATCGGCTTTGCTATTATTCATTGATTGCACAATTTTGAGACAGGCATAACTGAAAGCTGAATTATCTTGAGTATATGCAAACCAAATACACCAGCAGAAATTTAAATGACTTGCAACGCTTGAATGCCCAACAAGTAAAGCATACAAAAATAATTTTACAGAAACTAGGAACAGACTATAGCATCACGTGAACTGGGGTAACGGAAACAGACTATACTCTAATTAATGCTGGCTTAGCCCTCTTTCGAAAACACACTATAAAGAAAACCCAGAAATGAACGCCTTCTCAAAAAAAGAATTAACGAGCAAACCAATACGAAAACTTTATAAGCGTACGGGACTATAGGACTTTCGTCAAATATCAAAATACATTCACTGAACAAATAAAATGTGTGACAATATCTCATTTTTAAGAAACATTGCGCATACATCACAATTGCATTACATCACATTTAAAATTCTTCAATTTTCTCAAAACATTCATTCAAAAATCCAACTTACCAAATATAGTTATGGATCCAATTTTTAAAAAAATCGATTGAAAAACTATAAAACAGACTATAACAACACCATTAATCGAAACTATTAGCAAAATAGTAGTTAGAAAACGTATCCGTTCAAACAAACAGCTTTTACAAAACAAATCAACACAAAAGATCCGAATTATGGATACTCCGATTCAGGAAAACAATGTTATTTGCACATGCGTTCCAATTTTCTTCACAGTATATTCCCCCCGACAGATCGTCCTCCTTGTCTGTTCAATGGCGGAAGGTATAATAAATGTGCACTATGTTTTTTACGCGCATCTATATTTCAGCCTTTTACATGTATGGTTATCCTCCACAATTATGACATTCGTAAAAAAATATATTTATTAATTGATGCATTAGACTAAACACCAATTATATATCATTTCTTTGCCATGTTTTTCATTGATTTCACACTGTATTAATGCGCATCGATACACGAAAGAAGTCCCCTGAAATCGCCTGTGTAGCAAAAATGACGTCAGACAAGTTGTTTTGACATTTTCTCATAAATACAATGTAAGGAAGATTATTTTTTGTCCAGGATATCAAAACATAATATTTTTTGCTCAATATGTTTAATTCATTTTAAGAATTATGCTGTCTTATCCCCTTTATCTAGAAAGACTTGTGAAACGTTTACTGAGACGGCTCCACTCTTTAGGGGATGTATCTGCGATAAAAAATGTTACAAGCTTTAAAATAAATATGGAATTTAGGATTTCAATGAAAGTATGAATAATAATACAACAGGTATGTTGAAATTTGAATATTTCATAAAGTTTAGTTGGATAAATTCAACCGAAGTAATCAAATATCTAACTCTTTTCTACCTTGACACCTATAAAATCAACCATTCCAATTTGACATAGTTATTTTTTGAGGTCCACGACGGGGGACTCGTCACATTTGTAATCATATTGCAGCCTTAGACCGAACAAGAGGGCAACATCGTAAATATTACCTAGGTTTATGATTTACTACATGCAAATTATTTCATAGAATTATACCACTCACTTTAACCGAAAACGTATATCTAAATGATTTATTATAACTGTGTTTTGAAGAAAAAGTGTCTTGCCAAATGTATGATCATGCACGTTGGGTGTAGCTTTAGGTGAATGGTTGCCATCCATTCATGTAATTCGGTCAGTTTGCAGTATGGTCTGAATTGCATGGTGATGGACGAGTAGTCTGTCATGTCAAACCAGTCGAGAATAACTCGTGCAAACTGGGAGACAGAAAATAATCAAGTTAAACAACAACCCTCCTCTAAAAACATAAAATCAAAAAAGTATATTTGAATTCATGAATTCTGCATTTTCTATAAAGAACAGAAGAACAGTTACAAAAGAGTATTTAATATCCCCCATGGCCATAAGAAACTGGGGAGGGTGGGGTCCTGGAGGCACTTTTTTAAAGTTTGCCGATATATTGTCCCCCGCTTGAAAAGTGGGGGATATTAATTTGGGTTTGTCCGTCCGTCCGTCTGTCCGTCCGTCCGTCCGTCCGTCTGTCCGTCTTTCTGTCTGTCTGTAACGCTTTCGTTTCCACACGATATCTCGAGAACCCTTTGAGCTTTTGCAATGAAATTTAGCATAGCAATTCCCTATGGACTAAAAAAGACCCCTATTGATTTTGAGGTCAAAAGGTCAAAGATCAAGGTCATAAATAAGCAAATTCTGTCTGTTAAAACACTTTCGTTTCCACACGATATCTCGAGAACCCTTTGAGATTTTGCAATGATATTTTAAATAACAACTCCCTGTGGCCTAATGAAGACCCCTATTGATTTTGAGGTCAAAAGGTCAAAGTTCAAGGTCGTAAATTTATACATTCTGTCTGTGTGTAATACTATCATTTCCGGGCGATATTTCAAGAAGATTTTGAGCTTATGCAATGTAATTTTATACCAAAACTCCCTAGGACGTCTCTCGCCCCCTCTCAAAGTGCCCCGCCCCGTTTGTTTTATTAGTATTTATAGTATTACATGTCGCTATTTTTAGCGCAGGGTCATGAGGAGAGTTATTGCGTATAAAACAGGTTCTCGGCGGACTTTATGTTCTTATTACATCTATTAGAACTCTTTAATAAAGGCTAAATAAATCAAACACCATGGATTGTGTAAAATTTTGAGAATACCGAACATGAAAACATGAATAAATACATATAGGTGACTTCAGTTCTGCATATACTTCACATCGGGTAACGCGATTCCGTGGTCCAGTGGTCATGTCTCTCGCTTCAAATGTGAGAGGACCCGGGATCGAATCTCGGACGATCCTTTCTTTTTTTTTTAAATACTTTTTTTTTTGCTAAATGATAGTATTCAGCATGTGAAATGAAAAATTTATGAGGTTATAAAATCATTATTACAGTGTGATAAATATTCTATATAAAAAGAATCTTCTATACACATAACAAAGAATAACCAATCAAATCTTAATATGCATATTGACATACATGTATTTTATTTGCTTCAGTATACATGTATACATTTAATAATTCTACAAATTTAATTATTTACAACTTAAGTCAGGGGGATCCGACACCCCCCCCCCCCTCCACGAACTGCGCATGGTTTACTTTTTCCCTAAGCGGGGGACACAAATTCTCTGAATTAGCTTGTTTTCTATATTCCCCAACCCAACCCACGAAACAATATTTTTTTTACATTAAACAATTTTCTTGTTTTGCTTGTCATTTTTTATTTCATATTAGTAGGTCCCTGATGTAAGTTATTTATTTTTTATCTGAGTGAACCCCTTTCAAAAATGATACAATGCCACTGGTTTGTTCCCCTTATAATTTCTTACAAAAGGATGTTTTTATGTTACATGGGTGACAGAAGAAATTAAAAAATAACCTTTAAAAGGTTTATTATAAATCATATATCCAGGCATCCATATTTTTATCTTTCTTAAGGAATAGACAATATTAAGGGAACCTTATCTGACCTCCTATCTGCCCTGTAGATAGAGAAGACAATAGACCTATGACTGATCTTATATGTGGCCAGTGTTGGACAATGTAACCTACGTGACCCTATAAAGGAGAACCCAATCAACTGACACGTGAAGAAATCGTCCATACAAAAAAGGACGATTTTGGTGGTAAACATGCAACTATCGTGAACAAGCAGTGTGTTATTTATGTAGAAGAACTTGTGGTGACTTCCCCAAAACCTTTGTCTTGATATGTATATCATTATCATACTCGATAAACAATATGGTCAGCTGAAGGACACGTATGTATAAAATGCATTTATCATAATTGCTTTTTTAAAAGGGGGCGTCCAATACACTGAGAATATGCGCACTGATCAATTTGAAAAGAATTGTGAATGATTATAGCTACATGTCGAAATATAAAACTAAAACACTTATTCAGAATTCATCACTGTAGGCCTATAACAATTGGAACAGGTGCCCTGTGGTGTCTTGAACAGGTGCCCGGTGGTGTATCGCACAGGTGCCCGGTGGTATATCGCACAGGTGCCCGGTGGCGTATCGCATAGGTGCCCAGTGGTGTATCGAACAGGTGTCCAGTGGTGTATCGTACAGGTGTCCAGTGGTGTATCGCACAGGTGTCCAGTGGTGTATCGCACAGGTGCCCGATGGTGTGTCGAACAGGTGCCCGGTGGCGTATCGCACAGGTGCCCGATGGTGTATCAAACAAGTACCGGGTGGAGCATCGGACAGGTGCCCGGTAGCTGTAACACAGAAACGGTAAAAAACCAATTGAGCTTAGTCGAACTTGACTGAAAAAAATAGAACATACGTCAAGATGTAATTTAAGCCTGTAGGAAAAGCAGTAAGCACATAAAAAACTGAACACTTTCTTTATATCGAATCTTCATGATAAAATCCCTTTTTAGTTTGATTTTTTTACATGGATCCACGCAAATGCTGAGTAAAAGACTAGCCGATCCACCCGTGGATATCGAATAATGAATCATCTGATCCCAGGGTCATATATATTAAGCTTGATCACAGTACCAATTCCAGTGAACATGTTTAAAGACTGTTCAGAATCACCTTTGTAATAAACAGATCGAGAGAATAAAAAGATACAAGAGATTAGTCTGTCTAAGCGGTACATAATTTAGACATTTGTCGATTGCTTTCATCATGGTATACTAGAATATACACGGTACATAATTTAGACCTTTGACGATTGCTTTCATCATGGTATACTAGAACATGATAAGTATACAAAGATACAAGAATTTTGATCGTTTCTGTCAAGGATTCTACGCAACTCTCGGGATATCTGTTTCACCGTGCCATAGCGTTACTATGATGCAATTATTCCGTAACGTATGATGAAACGATTCCTTATGGGGTTTTAACATGGAGATTTAACCAAGGTTAGTAAATGTCGTATTAATATGCCTTGAATGCAAAATAGCCCTAATTGTGTTAGCCGTTGCATTATAGGAATGACACAGGCATCTGTTGACATAACGGACCAAGTCCAGAGATGCACCGTTTTCTTAAACACTTTGCACTTTCATAATAAAGAGGCTTAAAAGTTCCGATTTATTCATAGAACTTTGTTCCCAATCAAGTTACAAAATCAGCTACAAGTTTACCATAACGAAAATGCGTTGTTTTTCCATTTCACTCTAGAAGTGTGATGAAAATATTTATTTAATCGCTTTTAACATAGATTTTTAGAAGTAACGTATGATGCAACTATTCCCATCATCAGTAACGTGCAATGCAACTATTCTTTAACACACGTATTAATAGACCAATATGTTGGATTTCTTTACTGGGACACGTTTCAAAGGAAGGTAATAAAATTACTCATTGCTTTCTTTTTATCACAGAATACCAAATGGTTAAGAAAAAAAGCAAAACTTGACTATAAAACGGCTAAAAGAAAAAAGTGCAGCAAGAAAAAAGTCATTTCATCGATTTACCAAACTCCGAAAAGAAAATTTCCTACCCCATTTAAATCCAAAAATCGATATGTTAATACCCCAAACAGATACACTGCAAAAAGTCCCCCGTGTGCATTATTATTATACTTTTCTTGTACATACGTCGCCGATATATTGCCTGAAATATTGCCGAATTGGCGTAAAACATTAATCATTCAATCTGGTACATATGCGATGTATAAATTGAAAAAAGGTCCTCAATGAGTTTGAGATATTACTGCTTGTGAATTAAGAAAATTTATCAAAAATGGACCTGTTAGTATTGATCTCAGTTAACTTTGTTCCTATGACTTTGAGCCGGTGAGTTTCCTCGCATT